AAAAGTAAAGTATACCTGGCTTATGACTTAAAAAATTTATATCTTCTTTTTGTTTTGATATTCATAATATGTATGATGAATTCATGCTTGTTATTAACGGTATAATACAATGGTGTAAATAATACTAATTATACTCAAAATGCGGATGAGTACAAAGACAAGAGTAAAATTATTAATAATAATAATAATAATAATAATAATAGAGTAACATATTAATAAATGAAAATAAACATAATAAAAATATTTATTAAGGAAAATGAAAATAAATATAATAATAATAAAATAAAAAGTAAATGAAAATAATTGACAGTTGATTTTCTACATTTCACTATTGGAGTATTATATTCGCTACGTGGATTAAAATTTCAAACACCTAATTAGTTATGTACGATAAACATGGGTTGTGAAGGATTGTAACGTTTTATTTGAGGAGAGTATTCGATAAGAAAAATTCACGATATATTTCTATGTTAAATGTATTAAAATACATAAAAAAAAGCTATAGACTTCGCCACTTTAAAGCAGCAATACTTATAAACTCCATATTAAATATTCCCTTAGCCTTCGCAAACTTTTCATTACAAATTATTATATCTAAAAATCATATATAATTGTCACTATTTTATGAATAAACAATACTATCAAACACTATTCAATTGATATATAAATTAATGTAATATTTTATTATATAGATATTGAATATTAGTTATATGTTGGAATTATATCTAAGCGAACGAAATAACGAAATGTCAACATATCTAAACATATAGAAATTAAAATACCGTTATTTAATTTTTTAATTAAATTATTAGCAACTCGAGTAGTTGATATTTTAATCTGCCTATGCTAAATATTCTTGGATGCATTATTTAAAAATATTAATATAATCAAAATTAATAATAAAAAACAAATTAAAAATATAAATAGAAGTTACATTACTGAGTAGAAAATACTCGTAATTGATAATCATTTTTCGTGAAAATTTTTCTATTGTAAAACTATACAATTTATTTTATTCTATATAGCCGCCTTTTACAAATTATTTAGACAAGTAAATCAATGAAATGTATATATTATTAGATTCAAGAAAACAAAATAGTTCTTCGTATTGTCGAAGGTTCGTAAATTTAAAAAATATTTTATTTACATTGTGTTCTGAGAATGCTGTGAAAAATATTCAATATTTAAAATAAACTAATGATGAAAATAATTTTTCATAGACACTTTTCACAAAAAAATTGAGAAGATTATTGACAAAGCATTTAAACAATAAAGCTACTCGTTACTAATTTTAGTAAATTTGTCTTATTAATTGGAATAAATATTATTAATGTGATCAAATAGAAATATTTCTTATATATTTCTGGCTTCTTTCTAATATCTTCATGTATTAGAGTATGGTTACTTTATTTTTCTCACTGAGATTTAATCTGCCCAACCTCCGCTATGCATTCAAGGCGATGCTTATAAATAATCAAAAAAAGGCAAATTCAGTATGCTCCCGTTTCGCGCGTGCCATGTATAAATCTGCTTAGTTAAATAAGTCTTATTATAGTGCAAATGTTTTATATTGAAATTGATATTTTGTTATTCAATTATAAAAAAAAACAAAGTATATGCTGGTAGCTAAATGAATAGTTAATTATAAGTAGAATTAGAATCTATGATTTTACGCAAGGCTTAAAAGTACGTGAAATTAATGGTGAAAGATTGCGTTAAAGATCCTTATATTTCTTTTAAAAAAAACTGTTTAAAGAGCTTTCAAAAAAATATCAAAAATATAACTAATTTACCTTTGCGAAAATACAAATTTAAAATAAAACAAAATTTTAAATTAGAAAGTTAAATATTTTCATTGCAATAATAAATGCATTTAAGTTTATTAATACATTATTTTCTTTAAATCTTTTAATAAAAATAAAAAGAAATCAAAATTACATATTTTCAAATGGATTGAATGCTAATTTATAGTGTTATGATATTAGATTAATATATAATTCAACCTAGTTCACGTATAAAACATTAAATTATAAAAATCATACATTTTATCAAATAAAATTGGGATATATTTTGTATATCGCTTAGCACTGAACAGCCCTAGTACTCATAGACAGTTTTAAATGATTCAATTAAAAAATATTATCGATATTACATTTATTTTATTAAATTTTTAAAATATTTTTATCTTTATTATATATTAAAAAATTATAAATTTAATTTCATCATACTTGGAAAGTAAAGAAATTAATGTTAATGTGTAGTGGTTTAATACAGAAGCACGATTAAAATTAATTTTAAATATATAATATTTACATTTTATCTACGTGAAAACCAAATTATATTTCAACGTAATATAAAATAATATAATAATTAAAAGAGTTTAAACTATTACAAAATCTGTGAATTATTAAAAATTGCAATAAACTTGTTAATTTTTAATTCTAAATCAAAATTAGCTATAATAAATACATATACATATACATAATTTATAAATTTATGTAAATTGACATTTTATTTTTAAAAAACACATATAAAACCAATTGCTAATTATGCATTTGATGTTTTATATTTATAAAACTTTCAAATTTAGATGTAAAATTTATAATATAATTTATAATTACAACCATTATAACAATTGTGTTAGTATCAACAACAAAAATTTTAATAATTCGTTTTACAAGACAAATTAATCGAACAATTTTGTTTAATTTAACAAAAAGGAATTATAAAATAAAATATTTTAAACTTTTAATTTTTATCTATTTGTTTATTAATATCAATAGAAAGGAATTAATTAAATAATTATACGTCAAAATGAATCGATTTTATATGAATAATCTTACCATAGTGTTTGTACGATTACACATTTTAACTTAATTTAGCAATAAATTAATTAAAGATTATTTAATTAAAATAAGAACAAAATTTCACGAGTATAAGTTTATATAACAGAAACTTAATTGCAAAAAAGAATGTGTAAGTAATAGATGTTTATCTAAAACATATTATGTAATTTTCATTAGTTATATTTTTCTAGAGCTTCGATAGTAGAACGAAAATAATAACAATATATTAAGTTTTACAAAATTTTGTAAATTGATAATACTTACAGTATAGTAAGTATAATTATTAGTATACGTAATCTGTTAGTTATACTTAACCATTTACATTTTATGCTTTATCAAAGGAAGAAAATACGTCTCAAGTTTGAATTTAAGAAATCTAATATAAGCTGTTAAATATATATTATAATAAAATTATTTTCAATTTATTTAGCTTAACAAAATGTAGTAAATTATTTTCATAAAAATATAAAGCATTCAAATAATTATTTTATTTAAATTTTGGAATATTGATTTCTAACTTTTTATTAAAAAGATTTTAAATAATTAAGAAAAAGGTATATCACATATAAATATCATTATCAATTTGCATTTTTACATATTTCATTTAATATAACAAATCAATAATTGTAGAAAAAACTAATGAAATATTAAAAAATTGTGCAAAATAAAAAAAAACAGTTTTCAACTATATACTAAAAATTTATTTGTAAATATTGTAATACTTTGATAATTTACATATTTAATTTGCTAGTCTATTGTATAGTTATTTTAAAAAATATTAATTCATATGAATACAAAAATTATAATATTTCATCTTCGTGTACATAAAAATGTTAAAATTGTATTTGATGTATGTTTTATACATAGTAATTATTTATGATAATTTAAAAAATATAAAATTATGAAATCGCTGTATCAAAGAAAAAAGAAGTGTCAAGTATAAATTTTCTACTTTTCAAATATAATTTATCCTATAACTATTAATGGTCTTTTGAAACATAATAATATTTTATATGTAAGAAAAATAATTTTATGAAAATAAGCAATTTTTTTGTTTGAGACACGATTCTGTACAATAAAGACATTAATTATTTATATTATATAAATTACATTACTAGATGGTTTTATTGCATCATTTAGGATATTGTTATAATTGAGTATACTAAATTAAAAATTAGAAGAATTAGTATGTACTATTTTCAATATTTCTATTCTGTGAACATCCTGCAATAAGAACGTCAAATTTCAATGTGTAACCTTTTCAATCTTATGGTTTCATATAATCTAAATACACTGCACTTTATTGCGTTACTATCTCTCAACCTAAGTAGTTTCAGTTAATATTTAATTTTTTTATTCAATTGTTTTATCAGTCATGAAAAAGCTTTAAATCAATCAAATTCCTCGAGAAAAATAGATTTGATTTGTTTAGTAAGTGTTTTTGCTTATTTATATATTAATATTTAATTAAGCTAAATATACTGATAATATAGACAATAAAACTAAAGGCGTTCTATTCATTGTAATATTTTCATATTAAATCTTTTCGTTTTATTAAAAGTACTACTACTACAGTAAAACTACTACAGTAGACATAAATCTAGGCACTAATTTTTAAAGTTTTTCTAAATACGTAAAAATTAATTTTTAATTATTGATCATATTTCTGTAACAACTTGTAAATATTTTTATACTTGGTATTTAAAAATATTTATATATATATAATTCGTTTTCTAAAAAATATGTTCAAATTTGCATTCTACGAAAATTATATATATGACATATTACATTAAAACAGAAAATTAGTTCTTATAAAATATAAGATAAAACGGTTTTCATATATATTCAATAATAAAGGTTATTTTTAAAACTAAAAATAATTTACTCTATTATAAATTGCCATAATCAGGTAATGGATATTATATATACACGAATCATTATTAATGTGTAATTTAAGCTCGATTCTAAAAGGAGCTTTGAAAACTTAAACTAATTCAATAAAAAAAAAAATGGAAAAATTTTAAATGGGTTAACGATTTAAAATAAAACTAGCAGAAAGTATATTGAAATAAAACAGAAAATTTAATTTGTTAAATATATAATATACTATAAATATATACATTTACATATATATATATATTTATAACTTGCTTAGAACCATATATTTGGAACCTTGTACTTTATCTATTACTGCGACCTCCCTTCTTTTTACGTCCATTTCTCTGTTTCTTTCTTTCAAGTATTTTGCGTGCTTTCAGTATCTGATCAGGAGTTTTAAGTTCACTTTTAATTCTAATCTTCTCTTTCAATTTTTGATTATGCCTTGCCCAATGTGTTTTTGCTGATGTTTCAACTATAATTAAATATTTTGATACACTTAAAATATAATAAAGTATGATAAAAGTATTAAATAAAAAGTTATACCCATTTTTCATTTACTTTAATTTAAAAATGTTGTTGAAGACATATTTAAAATTTTATTATGTAATGATATGATCGTGCATTTCATTAATACATAAAAATTTCGAGTTGTAATTAAATAAGATATATATTTGTTTTAATAAGCATTCAAAAACAGGATTATTAATAATAAGTAAACCAAATAATTATGTAATAATAATACAAAATAACATTAATTTTAATTAATAAAAACATTTGGTAAACATGAGCATATGAAATTCCTTAATTATCTGTTTCAGGTATAAGTTTTATGTTGCATATTGTAGTAGACTAATATTGAACTGTTTTATGGTATCTAATTATAACAGAAATTAATTTCTATATATATTGAAAATCTACATAAAACATATACATAATATTTTCCAAGAAGGGTATTTTGACAATAATATGCATACCTATTGGTGAATCAATGACACTCTTCCTAACTTTAACAAGTGAATCGTGTTTTATTCATAGTTAGTATCACATATATATAATAACAAAAATAAATCCTTGCTAATCATACAAATGAATTAATCAAACATCTATCAAGGTAATAAAATTGATTTATCTTATCTATATTTTTCTTATAATTTCTATGATTTTAACAATTATTTATGTATCATAATTTTTTGTATATTCAAATTATACTTTTTTTAAATAAAATTAATTATATTCACAATATTACTATTGTTTACTCATTATCAAAGAGTTATCAAAAATACGTCATTTTAATTTTTTTTTATTTTTATTTGATTATTTATATTTAAAAAATAATAAATTCATTTTTAATAAATAATCAACAGAATTTCCCCAAAATAATTGAACAAATATTGATTTTTTAAAATAATGATATTGTAATTTTTAAAAATTTAAATTATAATCATACATAGATTAAGAGTAAAGTAAATGAAAATAAAATAAAATTAAACCTTAACTAGTTTATAATTAATCAAAAGATAATTATTATTTATTTAAATATAAAAAATAATTTTTTAATTAAAATATATATTTATTAACCAAATAAAATAAAATTTATATGAATTACCTATGTAGACATTAAAAAAAATTAATTGTAAATGATTTCTATTATATTAGTTGCAATTGTGTTATATATATATAATTAAAAATAATTATCTAATTTTTAAATTATTATTAATTTTCATTAATAGCTCTTATCAAACTTACGTTTTTGCATTTGCAATGACACTTCATTATCAGTATTATCATCATTTTGAATTATGCCAATTTTATTCTTCTCTTTCCATTGTAAATATCTTTTAGTTTTATATGTTGATGGAATCCAAGTTCCTGATTCCGTTTGAATTTTTCCCGCTTTAGGATTCTGTATTATAACAAATTTTTTTAATAAACTTAAATAATTCTAAGTAAAATATTTAAAATTTTGTTTTACATTTTCAATCGTGATCATTTTTTTCTTTTTTCTATCCCATTTTTTTATTTGATTTTGAAATCGTCTTGAATTTTCGTTGTCAGCAGTAAAATCTAAATAAACTTTATCTGCTTCAGTTGTAAAATTATTTACAGCTAATCTAGAATAAAATATATAATTTACTTTTTATCATTGAATTATGAAAAATGAGTAAGATATAAATTTAATTCACCCTTGTTCAGTATGCCTATCTGGAGCTGTATAAGGTACATAAAATTGATCATCTTTTAGAACTTTTTGTTTCTTTTTATGTTTATTTTGACATATATCATATATTTTCCTTTTTTTTGAAGTTATAACTTGACTAAAAGTATCATTAATTTCATCTATACTACTTGGTGATAATTGCAGGCTTTTAGCTTTATCTACAATTATTTTACATAAAGTTGAATTTTATTTAACTTTTAAGATTAATAATAAAAACAATATTTACAATTTAGATTTTTAGTTGACACTTCTTCAATTTTTTGGTGATAATTTATGATATTTTCTTTATGAAATTTTCTTTTTTCTTTCATTATTTTATAATCCACCGAAGAAGGTTTTGCTACTATTTCGAAAATTGTCTAAAAGAAATAATAGAATGACAGAAAAAAGAAATTATTGATTTTAATTAAAAATATATTGTTTTAATCACCCCGCGTGGTTTATAACTTTTTATTTTTGAAATTAGTTCAGCTGCATCATTATTAGAATTTCGAAATTCTGGTAAGATACCAGCTATAGAAATATGTAATTCTTTTATTCTTTTATTACTCTCTGTTGATGCTGGTGGTCTAGATCGTATATATTGTTGATATGCATTATTGCATACATTTTGCATACTCGACTAAAAATAATGAGAAAGTTTTAATTTGAATTTCTTTTCCTATATTTTTAAAATGGTAGAAAACTATTTTACAATATCTGTAATATTTTTATGATACATTATTAATTCAGAAAGTTCTTCTTCAATCATTGATTGAGGTATTTTGCCTATAGCTTCTTCTGGAATATTTTCTGTTTCTGATATAGGAATTATGTTGAGAGAACGTCCAAGAAATAAATGTAAATCTAAAAGATAAGCATACTCATCTGGAGCAACTATACTGTATGCATTACCGCTTCTTCCAGCACGTGCACATCTACCTATTTAAAAGATTATTTATAATAAATAATAGCAAAGAATATATATCTATTACAATTTAAATAAAAATATATTGAGATTGGGAATATTTAATCTAACCAACTCTATGAATGAATAATTTGCTTGTTGCAGGAAAATTAAAATTAATAACATTATCTAAACACGGAATATCTATTCCTCTTGCAGCAATATCTGTTACAATTAAAACTTTAACTTTTTCACTTTTAAATTTGGCTGCATTTATTTTACGTGCTGATGGATCTAAATTAGAATATATAAATGTATTTGTAATACCAGCTTTATCAAGAATCTGTAATCATTATTATATGATTATATTATTAAATTATTATATTTTTATTATTCAATTCTTAAATTAAATGAAATTTTCACTTGATGAATATATTCAACATGGTGCATAGTAGCAACAAAGATTACTGTTTGAGTATCAGCCTTCACAATATGTTTTAATAAACATAATAACACAGCTAGTTTTTCTTCAGATCTGCAAGTAATAAAGCAAAGTTTCAACTCATCAGGTAACTTGCTTTCTACATCTAGACGTACAAGGATTGGATTTTCTAGTCCTGCTTTTGCAAATTCAACTAATAATTTTGGTAATGTTGCTGAAAATAAAAGTGTCTGTCTAGTTTCTGGTAATCTATTTAATATTTCATTAATTTGTGTACCAAGTCCCATTTCAAATAATCTAAATTAATAAATTTTGCTAAATATATATTTAAATCATATTTTAGTCAGAATAACAAATTTTATATACCTGTCAGCTTCATCAAATACTACAATTTCAATGTTTTCTAAATTCATATTCATTTCAATACATATGTGTAAAAAGCGACCTGGGGTAGCAACGATAATATCTGGATTCCCATGTATAGCCAAAAACTGATCATCCATACTATCTCCACCCAAAATAACAGATGATTTTAATCCTGTAAATTTTCCTATTTCTTTAATAAACTTCAATGTTTGAATAGCTAATTCTCTAGTTGGTGCAAGAATTAAAGCACGTGCTCCTGATTTAGCTTGTCTTGTTTTTAATTTTTCAAACAAAGGTATTAAAAAACAAGCAGTTTTACCACTTCCAGTGCGAGCCATAGCAACTACATCTCTACCTTCAAGTGCTAGTGGAATAGTCTGTTACAGTGAATAATTATGAACGAAAATTATTAAGTTATTATAAATTTTTGTTACTTTTTTGTTTAATTTACCTTTCTCTGAATTGGTGTTGGTACTTTATATCCACGTTTTAAAATCCCTTTTATAATTGGATAACTCAAATTCATTGCTTGAAATCCACCTGATTTTCTACATTTTTTTTTGTTATTCTTATTAATTTGATTAAAAACATTTTTTTCATTATTGTTACATGAATTTTTAAAATTAAATAATTCTGTTTCCATTTTATTCTAGTTACTAAGGTTTGATCAATTTTAATAAACAAAAGTGGAATAAATTTACGTAATAATCTTTAAATGCAAATATTTCCATGCCATTAATCTTAACCTCTTTTGTGAAGAACCGTTCGTTTTTTAAAAATTTATGTCCTAGAAATTTCTCATCTATGACGATCTAAAAATTTTAAATATATTTTAATATACAATATAATAAAAGAAATTTGTTTGGAATATTGTTCTTAATTTTAAAACATACATTATAATTATTTTAATCTTGAAATATATTAAAATTAATTAAAAAATTGTCTGAAATAATTTCATATATAAATTGTCGGTCATAAACTATTTTTTATCATAATTATGGATATGTGGTAGAATTGTCAAATTTATAAAAATAAACAATAATATATTTTTTAATTAATATGAAATTAAATGTAAATTACTGTACATAAAATTTACAGTAAAACAACGTGTTAGATGCATATATATATATATATATATATATATATATTTGTTTTAATTAGAATTAGAAATATAGAAATAAACAAGAATTCAATTTTGACCAAAATGAATTTTATTTCCAAGACTACAATTATTGTAAAATGGTCTTCGGTCTTCGTAAAAAATATATAAATAATTACATTAACTATAGTATGTTTTCAATAAATTAATCTATAAATTTATAAATAATTAAAATATATTTTCGTAATTAATCAATTCATCTTAGAAAATAATTAAACATTTTTATTACAATTTAATAAAGTTAATAAAGTGGAGAGTTGTTTCTTTAAATGGTTCGATCAGAATTTAATTCCAAAAAATTTTAAATATAAAAGATGTAAATAATATATTTTAAATTTTAATAATGAATAATAAACCATTAGAAATTTGCAAAGCCTTAAATAAATTTTTAAGTATTTTGAGCTGTACAAAATGGTATATTACTTTATTTACAAGCCTTATCTCTTATATTTAATTGTTTTTACGTTTTTATTTTGTGGTACAAAAGAATTATATTTCATAGTATATTTTTTCAGCAATACCACTTTACGTGATCTACAGAAATTTTTAAATTGCGGTCATATTTTATGTATTTCATGTGCTAATACAAAAAATACTATTTGTAGTCAATGCCAATTTTCAAGTAAAAAAAATAATTCGAACATTGAACAAATTATACAGATGTGTTGTAATATTGCAGAAGCAGCAGGTTACAGGTTAATTTATTAGTATATAGTAGAAATAATTTTAACTGCTAATTTTATAACTATTACAATATAAACATCTTATTAATAATCTAATGTAATTATTGTAATGTATTTTAATTTTGGTTCTACATTTTTTAAAAATCAATATTTTAATGTACATCGTTAAAAGATTTAATTTTTGTGAAAATTTACATTAATGATACTGATAAATTAAAGATTGATTATTAAAATTAAAATTTTAATATTTAATTGTATATTATTAAATTAACATAATAATATTTATAGAAAGAATGTTGAAAGTATAAATAGAATCAATAAATCTGACTCATTATCTGAAAAAAATGAATGTAATTCAGACATACTCGAAAGTAAATTCAATTTGAATAACTCAAGTATGACTACTGTTACTTTAAATCAATTAAAAAGAAAAAAATTTAAAAAATTGAAACGTAAAAGTAATTTAAATTTTAAACAAAATATAAAAAAAGTAAAAAATTGCACAGATATACCAAATATGATTATTCCAAAAAATATTAATAAAAGAAATTATTGTGGAGAAACAAAGTTACAGGAAGCATGCAAGAAAGTAAGATTTATATATAATTATTAATATTAAATAATTGACAAAACTATTCTAGGGACAACAAGAATATGTAAAATATCTATTAAAAGCAGGGGCTGACCCTAATATTTCTTGTTATGCAAATTGGACACCATTGGTACTTATTGATATTTTACTGTATATTCATATAATATAAATATTTATTTTAATCTTTATTTTAGCAAGAAAGTGCAGATTATGGATTTTATGAAATAACTAAAATGTTATTAGAATCAGGAGCTAATGTAAATCAACCAGGATATGAAGGTAGAACTGCCTTACACGAAGCAGCTAAAAATAATAGTTATAACATGATATGCCTGCTTTTACAATATAATGCAAAGAAAGATATAATTGATAACAATAAAAAAAAACCTGTGTACGTTGAAATTACAATTTGAATATCTATCTTTTTAAGTATGATATTCTGTATAATTTTTAATTTCTATCTTTTAAAAATAAAGCATAAGCCAGATTTTCATTTTAAAAATTAATCTTATATGGAATGAACATATAATATATTATTTTTATTCTTTTAGAGATTATTGTATATTTAATGAATTATCTATTATTTTAAATTGTGATGCAGAAAATAACATTCAGCATCCTAAAGTAACTACAGAAATAACTAAAAATTCTGAAGATCAAACTAAATTTGAAAACAATAATTTACATGATATTATGGATAAAAGAATTTTAAAAGGAAAACAAGTGGAGAAATGTCTAAATTCTGAATATAATATTAAAATTGACTATCACATTGATGATACAGAGAACGATGTTAATATAGTATTTGAAAATATTCATGAAAATTATTTGGATAAGAATAATTCATACAACATTAAAAATATTTTTTATGATTCTTCTACAGAATCTGAAGAAATTATAGATATTATTAATTAAAGTCTTACAAAATTCATTAAAAGTTCTCTGTATTTTATAAAACTTATTTAAAAATATCTTAATTATATGAATTCTTTATGTAATACAAATTTGTATACATTTTTATTTTTTATTTTTGTATTTTTAATTAATGTGATTTTAAGTTATTATATTTCTTAAATATATGAACTAAAATAATTTAAATAAATTAAATTTTTCAAATATTTGATATCACATTACATTTCATATTTATGGCTTACAAATTGCATTCACCCTAAGGTAATAACAAATGATAGTAATAATTTAAAAACACAATTAAAATTTTTTTTATTATTTTATAAAATCTTAAATAAAAGAATTAAACAGTTAATAAAATTTAAGAATATCTTTTATAAAGCCAAATCTAAACAAATAGTACCAATTATTACAATTATCTGAGAATTCTTTTTAAAAAATATTTTATTTTAATGATAAGAAAGAGTAAATACTAATACTAATAAAAATAAAATTGTTAAAGTTTTTCTAAGTGCTTCATTAAAATGTTTTATATATAAACTGTTTTAGACGATATCTATTCCATGTTTTTAAACATTTTTACATCTTATTTTAAATGTTGACATAGTCTATAAATCTCATTTGAACAATGCTAAGAAAAATTATATCAAGATTTTTGAGATTAGATCTGATCAAGATTAAATTTCATAAGTGCAGATTATATAGTATCCTAATATTTCGTTTTTTGAAAGAACATTTCAAATCGTTCAGAATAAACTCTAAATTCTTACTTTTCACAGAGTAATTATATTTTAGAATTTATCAAATTTATCATAAAAAGAGCCATATATTTTTTAGTATAAATATACATCTTTTATTAATATAAATCAATTAAAAGTCAAAAATGAACTAACTTTTAATTTATTTTTGTTTTCACTTTTCTCATTTTCGTTAGATTTTATGTTTCAATGAGGTGATTAAACTAAAATTGGAAAATAAAAAGTAGTAATTAATTAAAAATCAATCATAAGTTTTATTGGGGCATTAAATTATCTTTTCGCATAGTTTGTAATAGAAGTATTTGTTAAAATATATAAAATATAAAAAGACAAAAAATGTTTTTATGTAACTGTATTAAAAATTAATATTTTTACTCATAATTAAAATTTACATTTTATTATTAATATTTTTTCTCGTGAATTTAGTGATTTTAAAATTGGCTGGACACAATGTAGTTTATTTTCAATATTAAACTACCGGCAAAGAGTTTATACAGTTTTCTTTGTAAAGGCATGTTATACTTGGTTTAAAATCTGTGTTATGTATAAAGAAATGTAATTGATAGTTTTTATTTATATTATTTGCATATACGTAAAAAGAAAGACAGCAAGAATATATTCATTATATAACTCTTTCTAATATAAACTATTTTAAATCTTAATATAAATCTTAAAAATAAATTTATTCTAAAAATTAAGTTATATATACTTTTGTTATGCTTTTATAAGGTAATGTATATTTCTGCGTTCACTTAATTTCCAAGATTACAATGTCTAATGAATACTTCTAATGAATATAGTGAATAGATGACATAACATTATTATAAAATTATTCATTTTCCCAAACAAGTTTAATAGCTTTAAATCATAATATAATAACTTTGAATCATAACATTATGAACAATAAAAACTTTTTCATTAAGTTTATATTTTGTGATAATTAATACTTGCTATATATAGAATCTATATTAAAATTAAATACATTTGTAAGAATTAAGAAAAAAAAAAATTTTAATTTTCCATTAACCAAGTTTCAAATGAATTTATAATATATGATGTTTGTTAATGAATTAATAAATTCTTTAAATTTTATAGCAATTTTCTTTGTTTAGAAATAATACATTTGATTTATTGTTATATGACTCTTATGTAAATATGTAAAATAATTAAAATTTAACCATTGATAATTTTTATTTTAATTTAGTATTCACATATATGGTATTTAATAAAATGTATAAATACTACATACATCAAAATTTAATCTAGATATGCATCTAAATAAATATTGTATTAACTTTTATGATAGAATAGATATATTACTGTAATTGAAAATCGCATGTCCATGACAAAATCTGTTATACATGACTCTGTAAGTGCATGTGCTATCTGTATTATATATTTTAAATAATGTCACTCAATTATCTATAGTAAAATAGATCTATCAACAATTCCACTTGTTAGTAACTACAGTTATAACACTAATTAAAAATATTTTTCCTAAATTTTAAGTAAAATTTATATATAAAATAACAATATTTAATAATTAATATAATATAATAAAAATTAAATAATAAATGTAACATTTTATTTAGGCCTATATTTATATGAACTAAATACTTATACTAAAAAATTTATTTACCGTATGTATAATATATAATAATTTAAAATAACTTCTTATTTATGTACGTAAATTTTTTATTCTAATTGTTGAATTTTGAAATTAAAAATGTTCGTATTATTAAATATACGTGATGATTAGAGACTTGAAAAATGTTAAAATAATCAATTTATGAATTTAATATTAATTTATTAAAATTGATATTAAATTATAAAAAAATTTTATGATGAATTTATATTATTTATAACTAAATTTTAAATGCGTATGCGTATTCGCACTGAGCATATAAAAAATTCATATACTCAAAAATTCATGAACTCATTTATATATATTAATATAATTTTGATATTTGCATTGATATCAAATAATAAATATCTTTATATTTTTTACATTAATATTAGGAAAAAAGTTTATTAAATAGATTAAATAAAATTTAAGAAAGACAAATACATATATATAATTCAGAAAATTTATATAATTTAAAAAAATATTTTATTATATAGTTAAAAAAAAATTTGTTTCTCTTTGTATTTATGTGTATTAATATCAATAAGTCAATTCGAACATTTTAATAATTATACTTATTACAATAATACTTACGAATATCTACGATTTATATATCAATAAAAAACATTGAATAACTGCAGAAAAACATGTGTACATATAATTATTTTAGTATTGTATTTTTAAGATAAAAATATTTATCCAATCTTTATTACTATTGAAATATATTTTATAATATATTAAAGTCTAAAAAAATTGTGTTATAATAAAAATGATAATAGATTTTTCCATAAAAAATATTACAATATTCGTTACATGTTGTCACTTTGTAAGAAATTAAGAAAATTTGATTATAGTAAATAATACAATTATAAATTAATAACAATTTACATATGACAAAAATTAAAAACAAAATTTGTAAATGAATAAAAAATAAAGTAAAATGAAATAAATGAAAAAGAATAACCAATAATAAATAATGCATATTTAATAATCTATTAGCTTGAAATGATTATGAATATTAAATTAATTATTTTCAAAATTGTTTAAAAACAATGAAAATTATTATTCGGAAAAACAAATTTATATCCTTTTTAAAAAATCTTTTCTTTAATATATATATATATATATATTTATACTCAATAATTTAATTAAAAGAATTAAATCAATTTGAAACTCAGAAAAAACACGCATTACATTTTGAAATTTTGAGATAAATAAGTTTTCAGATGATTTTTTAGAAAATAAAATTAATGAAAAAAAAAATAAAAACCAGTTGAATATATATCTTACAATTTTTGTTTTGTTTGATAAACAAATATAAATTGAAAATCAATTTTTTTTATTGATTCATAAATACTAATAAAATTTTGTATAATTATCAAATTTATTAATTTTCAAATTAATTTTATATAGCCTGACAAAAATTATTCCAAATACTTATATTTAAAATTTTTAAGGCTAGAATTAATATATTGTTAATTATAAATTAATATTTGTTATTATTGATATTGCATAATCGAGCAAATTAATTTTAATTTTGAGCAATTTTAGAACTATGAAAATAATCATATAGAATTGTATTATTTTCTTTTGTTATATAATTATGTCATAAATTATGTGAAAAGTTAAGTGTTGACTGTGCCAATAAAAAAGATATTTAATATATTAATTTTTTTATAATGTAAAGTTTCAATGTTACATAGAATTTGATTTTTACTAAAGTTAGTAATTTTCTGAAAGTTTAAAAATTACTATTTAAAAATGACTTATTAAACAATTTATTGAATATTTAGTAGTATTTAAAATTTAATTTATAGATGAATACAAATCGAAGGATACTCATTTTACCAAAAGTTTGATTTATTACTTTTGTAATTATATTTTTCTTTGTTTATTTTTCTAAAAATGAGTACATAATTATATATTTCAGATTGTACATGCATATACTTTTGCATGCGAGTTTGTCATATGTTAATATATATATAATATTTATACATTCACACATGAATATATGTACACTCATTTATATAAATAAAAAAAAAGTTAATAAAATGTTATATCAGAAACTTCTTTATAAATACAATAGTTGGAATATTAATGTATATAAATCTTTTATGGTGACGGGAAATATGCAATTACAGAAATTGAAGAACAAAAAAATTAATTTAAATAATCAAAAAAGTAAAGTAATATCTAAACATGTATCTAAATTTCTACAAAAAACAAATCAAGAACATTTTGTAGATATAATACCAAAAAGATTGTTACAAAATAATTGTAATAAAAATAGTCTATTATACTTAGTTGACCCATCAACTGCAAAAGATTTAACTTCTATAATTTCCCCAGAATTATTACAAGATCATTATTCTGTTATTGAATGTAATCCAGGATTGGGATTATTAACTCAAGAATTATTGAATATTGGAATTCAACATATTACACTTTTAGAAAAATGTGTAAATTTTTATAATTCAAATAGCCCTTTATATGCAATTGTTCTGAAATATAATACACGTTTAACTTTAAAATATATTCCCTTTAATTCATTTTGTCTTTTATCATTACGTAATAAATATCTGTATCAATATGATACAGAGAAGTCAGTAATATCATATTCAAAATATAAAAGAATAGCATATATAATACCAGTTGCAAATAAAACCTCTATATCATTGATAATATATAATTTTTGTAATCAAACAAAATTATTTGACAATAGATCTATTTTTTATCTAATTGTTTCGTCATCAATTTGGAAGGTATATGTTATTTATGTTTAGTTAAAAATTGCAAAATATAAATAAAAATTTTATTTAAGTAAAAGCATTTATTTTATGTTACAACAAATATCTAATCTTTTTTTAATAAATTAAAGTATAATTTAATTTTGTGTTTAAATTTTTTACAATGTTTTCTATTTTAATTAAAAAATAATTCATATTCTTTTGGAGGAATGAATAAAGATTTTCATTTTATTAAAATTTTTCATATAAAATATTATTTATAAATTTAATCTTTAATTCTGATTTCAGGATTTATATGAGAATGTGGAAAAGACATATACGCAATTTAGTAAACATTACAATCGTTATTATATAATATTAAAACTTTTTTTCAATATTACATTACTTGGAAATTTGTCCAGGAAGGCTTTTTTGCCATGGCCCAATTATGATTTAAATAATTGCAATATTAATGATTCTGATTTTCTAATGGTTATCAAAATGGAGCCTAAATTACAGTATTTATTTACAAAAATAGATTTAAAACATTTTTGGTATTTTCTTCGATATTGTATGAGATCCAAGACGACAAGAGTTATAGTGGAACTTGAGTAAATATTATTTAATACAATTATTTCAACTTTTAGCACCAATTCAATTTCATTTTATTACAGAAAACTTGTGCCTGGTTGTGGTATGCGACTAATTCTAAATAATATGAATATGTGTACTAGATTTAAAGATTTAAATCCTAATCAACTTTTAACTTTATTTAATGAGTTTAAATCATGGCCAGAATATACACATTTATTTTATAGAAAGTTTTATAAGGTATTAAATATCTACATCTGTAAAACATTTTTTTAAGAAGAGTTCTTATTTATAATTTTTATATATACATTTTATGTATATAAATTATTATAAATAGTAACTGTTACTAAAATCATAATTTATTTAAAATTTTTATTGTAATCAGCTATATTATAAGCTATATTATAAGACAATAGTATTCATTTTATAAATATTTTATTGAATAATTATTTCTAAAGAATAAAATATTATAATATATATATATATATATATATATATATATATATATATATATATATAATATTATAATATAGAATATATTCTATATGTAATATAGAATTATATATATTAATAATATAGAATTATATATATTAATAATATAGAGAGAAATACCATAATATAGTTAAATTATTATAAAATTTTATCTTTGAAAGATTATTTAAATTTTAAATGCACTAAATAGTAGATATTCTAGTCATAAAATTTGTAAAACTTATATTCTTTTATTTTATGTATGTACATAGATTGATGATGAAGAAATCTATGATGAAGTGGAAATTAATTTTGAATCCAAAGAAGCTGAATATAGTAGAAAAACGAGAGGTAGTTTATAAAAAATATTAGTAATAAATAGTTTCAAATACAAATTGTTAAACAATTTATTAAAATTGTATAGATTAATTATAATATTATAACTTATAATTAATATTTAATTAATTTATTTTAGAATTCAGATGTTTGTATATATTACATATATTTTTGTATTATTTCTTTAGACGTTTTAATAAACGATAATATATTATTTAGTTTTGAAGGTCTTTATTTTCTATTAATACAGTAATTAGATAAGTTAATCATACAAATCATGTTTAACGTGTGCTTATCATTATTATGAGTATTTTATTATTTTTAAATATATTTTTTTAATAATTTAAAGTAATTTTTGATTCTCAATTTTTAATGATATAAATATCAAATGTATGTAGATTTGGGATACATTATCTACATTTTTTTTTAATTATATGAATATAGATAATTAATATTTTAAATAAATTTCAATGTTATTAGTTCAATTTTTAAGATAGCCAAAATAAATTCGTTTTAAAGGTCATAATGGCTTATATATTTTATATACTATTAAATATTTAAATAATTTTATATTTTATTAAATATTTTTTTAAAACAATTTAAAGTAATAATACTCAAATTGATACAAATATTTTTATCATATACGTATTGATGACTTATACTTTATGTACATAATTCTTATATTAACTAAAGTTCCTGTTCTATAAACATTATTTTGAAACCTTTAATTCAGCAGATATCAAAAATGTATTTGCAGCTCTATTAGCTTTCAATTTAGTTTTTAACATTATTTTTTAATTGAATTACATTCAAAAACACATTATCATTTAATAGCTGTTAAATCATCATCATTAAATGTTAAAAATACATAAATATCATTGTTTCTTATATTGACAACTGTAAAAATTAATATTATATCTGGATATTGCATAGGCATTTTCCCTTTTTGTTATACATTATAAAACCTTGTTATCCATACTTAATGCTAATTAGATAAAAATATATTAATAATGACTTATAAAAAATTGTCAGTTATAAGCTTTATTGGGTAATTGTTTAAAACCTTCAATTACTTGCAATTCTGTACCAAACTACTATATTTTATTCATCCTTTATATGTAAAAGATTAAAAATTTATTTTGTAGATTATCTGTTTGTGATAATCATAAAAACGATGTCGATTATTCATATATTAATGTACATATTTGAATATCAATTTATTAAATAGATTTATTTTAGACACGATACTATTGAAAGTTGTACACTAACTCTGTCTTCTAATTAAATCTCAAAAAATTCTCTGCTCCCAATTAAATTAATTAAAATATTTTTATTAATAATATTATTTACAGTTTAATATTTGTTATAACTTAGTTTACTATGAATACTTAAGAATGTTTCTTTGTTTCGTGACTTTTTATGAAAACAAAATGAGAAAAGTAAAAATGTAAGTTTCATATTTCTCGATAAAATTAATATGATTAATATATTTTGGTGATTATTTTTAGTAAATTTGTAAAATTGTAAAAATTAAATTGTAGTATAAATTCAAATATGCTTTCAAATTGATTTTAAGTTATTAGTAATTACGGAATATAGACAGCAAACATGTTTACAAAAATGCCGGTCATGCTAACAATATGAAAAAGAGATTTTCTTTAAAAAATTCCCTCTTATCTACTACGTGAGTAAAGAAAAAGAAACTTGCAGTCATGTTTGTTAACTAGTTTTGAGCGTTACCAAAGATCACCAATTATAAAAAAAAAATAGTGTATGGTCAATGTTTATCGCTTTTAAGGAAGTCTCCACACCATGTAAAAACTATCAAATAAAGGCGTAAATTTAGCTAGACAATTTGCTAGAAGGTGGAAAAGAGGTACGAAGATAAAGTTTATTATCTTAGCAGTGTGAGTGTTCGTAGTTCTTTTACATTGATTTTGCTACCAAGGTATATCTTTTTCTGATAATAAAAATTCAAATGTGTACGTCAGTGATAACTCACCGACAAGCAATACTACGTTAAATACAAATATATGCATGCATATGCGCTCAAACCATCATTATTGCTCCGTTTTCGTCAAAACAATAATTTCACTTTACATTAGAATTTAATTCAAACACTACTACACAACTACTAGAATCTTTTATATACATTTTGAGAATAAAGATGTAGAGACAAAGCAAAAATCATGCAGGAATGACTGAATTTTATTACTTCATATTTTGTAACCCTAACAAAATTGTTCATGTACATCTTAAACATTGATATTCTTGTGCAGTGGATCATTTGTAAAATTATTGGCAACATGTAAAAATAATTTCGGAAATATTTATGAAATTGGAAAAAATTTCATAATTAAAAAAATCATGTACATTTAAATATTTTATTAATAAATAATATTCTAATATATAATATATTTCGATATTAAAAAATACTACATCATTATTCTGCATTAGTTGTCCGTTGTCTTAAGTAACTAAAAATCTAAAATTCTGAATTTATATAAAGAAAAATAAAATGAACAAATGTATAAAATAATATAAAAAAATTATATAATAAATTTCTTCACCATTCTGTACTAAGCTGATAATTGTTCTGAATACATATGTATAAAAAAATATTAAAATCGCAAAAAATATCAGAAATAGTCGAAATTAATTAAACTATTGTAAATACAATAGTGTTTAAAGTTTCAATATTAAAACGTAATTATCCGATTAATAAAAAATCTCATCGCTGCATTTAATGCAAAAGTAATTTAACAATTATTTTAAATGAATTTGCATATATACTGTATATTGTCTGATTTTACTATAAAATAAATTAAAAATCAAATAACTATATTAAAATGATTTAACAATGCAAATTAAAAATAGAAATTACAATAAATTACATTTTTCATTTGATATGCATTTTATTATATTAATTACATATTTTATATAGTTGTATAAACGCAATATTCATTTATTTTTCTTAGTTTCATATATAATTATATATATACTTATATATATGCTACACTTGAAATTAGAGGGTTTAAGAATTATTAGATTCTTAATATATATAACTTTTTAATTATTTGAGCATATATGTATTTAAATATTTATTAAATATTAAATATTAAAAATTTTATTAAATATTAAATACAATACATATATTTTATTTCAATCACTATTAAAGGTATCAAAAATATATTTCAATTTAAGATATTACAAAAATTAAAGAATTATTATGTTAATATATTTTTAACATATTTTAATGATATTATAGAAAATGAGCAATGAAGTATTAAATGATTTTTATAATCAATGCTTTTTAAAATTATCGTGTTATTAAGCTTTGTTTCAATACTTCTCAATATCTGTTTAAATTTAATTGCATTATAAAATAAAAATATACAACCATTATGTTTCAACATTTCAAATCATAATTAAATTAATATGCTTTTAACGTGACATTTATTAACAATGATTTACTATAATTTTCCAGATTTTAAAACGGAAACTAGTCAAGATTTCAAACCGTTTTTGAGAAAATATGCTGTTGTATCCAGGGGATAACTTTAAAAATACGTGGGTCTGTGATTGTCAAACTTATTGGTCTATTTGCTGAAAATTGATAGTTGTAACAAAGCATTTTCACGTGGACCCTGTGCCAAACATTATTATATATATTTATCACGTACCGAAACTATATCGATTTTTTTTGCGAATCCCTTCATACGAAATAATTATGTATTCTATAACGGTGATTATTGCGAACTAAGAACCATAGGTGCACCCTGTGCAAATGTTCAAATAGGGATTAAAAAACAAAAAAACAATTTTTCAAGTTGATTGCGAAAAATAAATTATATTTAAGATCGTAAGACACTGCAATTAGATAACTTAGCAAATGATAATTTTAGATTAATTGTTAATCATGGTAACTGTTACTTACAAAATATTCATTAAATGTGTTAATATATATATGTATGTATGTATGTATGTATAAATTGATTTGTAGATAGAAAATTTAGAAAATTATATTTAAAAAATAATTGTAGATGTGTGCATGTTTATAATGTAAATTTATAAGATTTATTAAAATAAATATATATATTATATTTTTAATTTAAATATGTACATATCTTAATTTTTAACCTTTCTTTCACCAAATTAAATCTTATACTAGTTGCCAATATATTTTTCCAAATATTACACTTGCTTTATACTGTTAGTAATTAAATTAATAATGATTAATAATTAGAAATCATATACTAATTAATAAATTATAGGATTTTTTTTAATAAATTCATAATTAATATTGACAGGATTATTTTATTTCATCCAATTTCTGCTTGTTGGTTATTGCAACTACTTGCTGCTTCAATCAGTCTCTGCCTTTCTCTGTACATAGAAACTTTCATATTTTCTAGCTGATGATATCGAAGTAATTTTAATGTTGCAAATACAGAAAGACCGACCCATATTGAAAGACTACTCCAAATTCCAAATTGGGCTACACCTAATTCTATATGGAAACCAGATGTATCTATATGATCTTCTTTATCGATGTTATTACCTGCAGCAAGTTCACAAGATGGAAATCGTTTAGTCATGTTCTTGCACCATGTCATAAAACCTAAAGTAACTATTACTGCAGCAATCAAAGAAATGCTTGTTAAAACAATAGATGTAATAACATCTATAAAAGCTGATAAGAATGAACTATCTTCTCCCTTATACATCAGCATGGATAAACAATAGATTTGTACTGCTGATGTTAAAAATAATATTAATCCAACAAATATTGTATAATTACAATACATTTGAGAAGCCCAATCAGCAACGAATTGACCATCACTTTCTCGCCAGATACCTGCAGAAAATAATAAACAATGACCTCTGAAAAGAATAAAATAATTATTACATTAGAAAATAAGAAAAGTATTTTTATTTTATAGTACAAAATTCAATTAGTTTTAATAAAACAATTTTTTAAATGGCTATCAATTATAAGTATATTACACTACTTAAGAATTTCATATATACATTATATAAATTTTCAGAATTTATAAAAAAAATATGGTCTCATAAATTAAGAAATGATTACCGAAATTCATCTTGATGTAAACTCATAGGCACAATAATACATAAAGATAGAATAAGAGCAACTACATATCCAGCTATTTGACTCAATAATAAAATATTTGTTAGGGCCATATTAGGTTTAGATTTTCTTTTTAATATCAATTAACGAATAATCTCCTATTAAGATTTTAAGGCTATGTCAGAATGCAAATGAACTTTCATTATTTTTTTATGCAAACTTCAATAAAGAAATTTTTATGAAAACTAATTTTAGGAAATCCATAATTTATATATACTGCTACAATTAAATAATTTATATGCCCACTGTACCACTGTTGACAAGAATAAATCACGTCATTAAAAATAATTTTTAACACCAGATTGAATATATTTAATAATTTGATTTAACTAATTTAACAAGAAATATTTACTCAAAGAGCATTTTACCAAAGATTATAAAATACTAGTAGAAAAAAAGACATTGCTGTTAACTGAGCTTGAAGCCTTATACAAATAAATTATTCTAGATACAGTGTTGCCAAAGAAATTTTTAATTTAAATTTTTAATCTGGTATAATGCCATTTGTAATGAAAACTTCTTAGAAATTAATTATTCGGAATATAAATAAAAAATATTATTAAATTAATTGTCATTCTAAATTATATTTTTTTAAAATATAGATCATAGTTAAATATTTTTAACTCGTAATAATTTTATTTATTTACGTTATAATTAAAAAAAAAGATAATTTTTAGAATTCAATTTATATAATACATATAATAAAAATTATTAAATAATTAAATAATTATTAAATTAGACAATTAAATAATCATGTTAATACGGAATATTTTTTATGTTAATAATTTATATTACAAATGTTAATAAGTATGTTATTTTTTGGATTTCTAGTATGAAATATGTTATATTAAAATGTCTCACTTTTGAAAATATGAAAATGTATAAATGTAAACATAAAGGCTAAATGTTATAATTATATAGTAATACGCTTCTTAATTTATTTTCATAAAAATTAATGATATTAGTTATAAATAGTATAAATTTTAAGTAAAAGATTATTATGTTATTTAATATTTTTCATAAAATATTGGATCAAAGTAAACATTTAATATAATAAAAATAAATAAATAATAATGTTACATAATAAATAAGTAATCGAACTATCTATAATAATATTTATCGATGATGAATTGACACTTACAAGGTATAATTTATTGTATTCAAATTGCTTTAGTGCATAGAACATATCATATAGATGAAATAATATTTTCCTGATAAAAAATCATCATAATACGAATATCAATGAAAAATAATGTTTTAAGAAAGTGAAGGGGAAAAGTAGAGGGAAAGAATAAATAAAATATATTGTGTGAATTTATCGAACACAAAGTAAATCCAGACCAGTGGGATCTGGCAACGCTGTCGAATTTCGCGCGTTTCCGTACTGTAAAAGTAATCGAAGAGAAAGAAACACGTCTTCCATGGTAAATCCATGTACTAAGTGTTCGTACATACTTTACTCAAACACATAAACAAAAATGATCCACACATACAAGGAGAAAAAAAGGAAATTATTTGACATTATTAGTGCAGTAAATATGCGCATAGCTCTAGATTATATTACATACGCATTGCACTATCATTGGTTTGTACGCAAACATACATTCTGACGTATCGTTAAATTATTTTCAATGCTAAATAAAATTCTTAATTGTGGCGTATTTCTAAATGACAAATCAAAAGTGTATTGTATCGTGTGTTTCTAAGTGTAAGGAAAAAGTGACAGAAAAGCAGATAATAAAGGGACAGTCAACCTGTTGCTTTAAATTTTTATTTTCTTGTCCTCAACAACTGAAGGTATTTATAATGGAAGCTAAAAAATAAACTACGTACAATCAAGTGAAAGAATAACAAAAACGAAAGAGAGAGAGAGAGAGAGAGAGAGAGAGAGTAAAAAGCAGAGATGAAGAAAGAAAACTCAGTGAGTGAGATGGGCACAAGAGATATTAAGTTGATATCACGGTAGAAAAGATTGTCAAAATATTAACTATTGGTGCTTCTGCTGCTTTTCTTATGCCATCAGCTGATTTCGATTTGTTCTACCTTTCATGGTTCTCCACAAATTGGCGGATGAAAACACAAAGGAGCATAGTGACATGTACGGTTGTGTGTTTGTGTGTGCTTGCGTCCACGCGAGCGTGTAAATATAGAAGAAGGGAGACAGACATATTTAATAAAATTTGCTTTCGTAGAATGAGGCAATTGTCAGGTGCTGAATCTTAATATCGCACACTATTGACACGTGCTAAATGAACTGTTTACATTAAAATTACGATCGAAGTTGACTGTTTACGATTTGAATTAATTTTGTTCAAGACATTACGGACCAAGACATCCTTATTGTTTGTTACTTCTCTTTCATAAGTACGCGATAACTTTTTTTCTACCCTTTTATATGTATATACAACGAAGTGTAAACATATTAACGAAAAACAACAAATTGAATTTTTTTTTGATAATTAAGTAAGTTAGAGGTAATAAATGCAGTTTTTAGAGTGAATGGTCACTCCCTTAGCCAATAGAAATGTCTTGGCTGGGATGTTTACCATGGTCTGAAGGAATAAAAAAAAGAGCATGCAGATACCTATTGCAGCGGTACCTAGGTCAGTTCCTAGAGGAAAAACTGACTTTAGATCAATTGACAGTGGACCTTTACAATGGAACTGGTCGTGTTACAAATGTTAACCTAGATGTACAAGTAAGCTACAATGATAAAATTTCCCATTTACTATATATAAACTGATATGCGAATGAAACATATTTAAATACAAAAATATACATGTAAATATTATTTTAACATGAACAAAGTGCATAAATTTTGGTATTTCTTCCATATAAATAAATTAATTTTGTATACTATTTCAAAAACATTTAAAAGAATAGAGTTTTTTTTAAGAAATTCTTAAACAAATTTAAAATTAAAAATATCTGCTTATTTTAGTATTCAAATTTAAATTAAGATGTAATTAAATACAAAAGTTGTTGGGATAGCAATAAAAGTGGTATTGGGTTGGTGATTAAATATTAATGAATCAGTATATATGATTGTAATAAAATAAATGATTTTTTTAATAACATTTATAAAATATAAAATAATAAAATTAACAAAATATGATTGAAAATTTTATTATATTACATAATTGACATGGTAATGTATATAAAATATATCAAAAGCAAATTTTTATATTTTTTGACAGTAATATCGATAAATATGTGATTTGATAATGGTTCAATACAATTAAATTTTTTAATTTGTATAAGTAATATGAATAGTAAATTGTTAATAATAGAAATCAAAATATTTAATAATATTAATGAAAGATTTTTAAATTATACATATGAAGTTTATTAAATAATTATTAAATTTTTAAAAAATTCATGACATATATAATAAAACGATTTAAATATCAAAGAATTTCGTAAATATTTATGATTCTTTTTTATTTTTTAAACGTGATTAAACAAATAACTTTATAAATTATTAATATACATCACAAAAATAATTAATAATTGTAATAAAATATTATATTGTAAAATATTTATTCAATCATTATAAAATGATAGATAAAAATAAATAAATAAAAATGTTAAATTTTAATACACATTAGAGAATTGTAATAATGAATATTTTTATTTGTAAAATTACATTTATACTTTTGAAATAATATTTACACATAAGGTTTAATAAAACATATATTAAAATTAAATAAAAAATTATTTTAGGCTCTTAATGAGTTGGGAGAGCAACAGCATTTGCCATTACAGTTTGTTGATGGTTTTGTGGCAGAAATGTCAGTTAGTATCCCATGGTCAGCGTTACTAAGTGATCCAAGTTATGTTGAAGTAACTGGTCTCAGATTGACAGTACAACCTAGACAGAGACCAGACACAGGAGCTTCCATGTTTGAGTCTATGTGGAGTTCAATGACTTCTAGTATGCAACTAGCTCAGGAATGTTTACAACAAGATGCCAATAATATAAGCAATTCTCAGCCATTGGAAGGAATTGAATTATTTGCTCAAACAATAGATTCAAGTATTACTAAAATGTTTTTATCATTATATTATAATAGCCATTTAAGTTAAAATTTTAAGGAATTTTAAGGTAGAGGTTTAATGTTATTAAAATTGTTATTCATATTTAAAAAACTTTAAAAGTAAATTAAAAAACATTAAAATAGTTTTCACTGTGCATTTATAGTGATTCTTAAAATATTGTTTATAATTTCTATATTCATTTATTTCTTTTTATTGTATAAAATTAATAATTGATTCAGAACTTTCATGAACTTTTGGCTACAACTATTTCAGAGTAAATAAAGAAAATTATTATTCAATATTTATATTTTTAGTTTTATGCAGAGTTAAAATACGATTTTTGGATACTGTAATACGTTTGGAACATGTGCCACTTGATTCTAGTACTGGAGTAGCAATGGAAATTTTTATCCAAAATTTGGAATACTCAGACGAAGCTGGATCAGATCCATCTCATGCCACTTTAGATCCTAATCAATCATCTAAAGGATACGTAGTATCTGCTTTTAGTACAAAGCGTTTTTATTTAGAAGGTGTTACTTTTCATACAGATGAATTTCCGTCACAAGCAAGAACATTTTCCAAAAGTGTGATAACCATGAGCAGAGGTTCTACTCCAGAGTCTAAAGTATTTATTTATATTTTTTAGAAATAATACTGTTACAGTAAAGATAAAGAGTAATTAACCCTGATGTTTTTAATATAAATTTTTTTTACCATGAAATATTAATACTGTATAATAAATCTTCAAAGATTAATTTGTATAATTAAATTGTATTATCTACAAACATATTTTTCTTATAGAATTCAGATGGACAATTTTCATCTGCACAAATATCTCCGATACAAAATATGCAAATACCACCAGATACAAATATAATTAATAATTTAAGTGAATCAAATCCCATTGTTTTTGGAAAATTGTCTGGACGTCAAGAAATTCGTTTGAAATTAAAACAAGGTGAAGGTGTTGCAGGACCTAAAGTAATTATAAATATTTACGTTATAATAAATTAAATAAAATGTTATTAATATTCTTATTTAATATGTAGGTAGAGTTTATGGCCACCCTAGGTTCTTTTACAATATTCTTAAGTCCTAGACAACTCCATCTTTTAATGGAATTGATGCATGGTCTTGCCTCACCAGATATAGAAGATATAAGCAATGTTACTCCAAGAACAACTTGTACAGAAAAACCCATGGCAAATAGTGATTTTAAGAGAGTTGAGCGAGAGCTTTTAAGTCAAGTTAACACTATTCCAGGATTTCGTACAATGGTGATCTAAATATTAATCCTCTAAAATTTATATAAGCACTTATATAAGCATTTTAACTGATTGTATTATGTACTATTAGTACATATAAACAAAAGCAAAAAAATATTTTAAAATAAATGTTTCATTCAGTAATAATTGTTTAAAAATATCATGAATTATTTATAAAGGCAATGATTTAATATTGTAATATATTCAATGTAGGATTTGCGTCATGCACAAGGTTGGTCAACCACATCGCATGATGATTCCGATAACGAGGACGAATTTTTGCCGATGTGCGTACCCGGAATTAATTCTATGAGTAATTCAATTTTAAGTAATAATGCAAGTATGGACGGGAGCCTATTTAGTAGTAGTGTAAGTTCGAAAAATTCGGCAATTAATACTTCGAAGCAGCACAAATATAGACAGAGTATCGATGCTGATACCTCAACAGAGACATCGCAGTTTCATGTGAGAGTTTCATCAGTGGCTATGATATTGCTTCACGACAATATATTAACAATTGGTATTGATGCATATGGTCCAACTAGAGCCAGTACTGAGATTATGAAAACGACTGCGGATAATTTTTTTATGACGCTAGGGATTTTTGGAATGGGTGGTTATGGTAATAAAGACTTTGAAAAGGCTTCAAAGCTCTTTGCAGATGCTTGCCAACATAGTCATTTACGGTAATAATTTTACTTTTAATTTCAAAATTCTTTTCTTATTCATTTATTTTCAAACAATAATTTTAGATTTGATTATAAATAATATTGAGTATATTTGCATATTTTTAATATAAATTCTATTTTTCTTCTAAACATATAATAAATAGGAATATCATTAATTATTATTTTGTCTATTAATATCATATCTAAATTTTATATTATTTGATTTTCACTTTTTAATATTCCAATTTTATAATACATATATTAATAATAGAAATTTAATTGATAAAACAAATTGTAATTATAATGGAATATTTTTTAAATAAATTTTCGTACTACCATTTGTTTATAACGAATTCATTATTCAATCATTTAGATTTTTGGCAGCTCCTTTAGTAGTCGAGGGAAGCGAAAAGACGACTGTTCAATACTCTACAATATCAGGAAAACTAAGTTTAGCTAGCTTAGAAATTGTTGAATGTTTAGTTGATAGTATGTCCAACAATCAAGGATTGAATAATGCGACGTTTATAGAATTGCTTACTTTTCAAAAAAAAGCCACTACAAATACAACTTTTTCAAATAAAACAGATTTTGAAATGATATTTAATTATACGGAAAAAGCTGTTAGACATGGTCAAATGATAAAATACAGCCATCCTCGGGCAGAATTCGAGTGAGCAATTAAATTTTGTATCAAGTTAATTTTAAAGTTGACTCTATTTATGTGTTAGTTTTAATTAAAAATTATATTTTAGAAATTGTTAAAAATAATGATAAGTTAACAAAGTATTAAAATGAATAATTTTTAATAATTCGAAGTAAAACATGCTCTATCAAATAATATTTTAAGAGAATATTAATAAAATATATTATTCAAATTTTTAGTATAACGTTAGAACCATGTCAAGGTGAGTTCGATATTACAATAATTGATAGAATATCTACATTTTTAAATCGACAACCAATATGCACATTTAGTCCAAGTTCAGCCACAGCTAAACAAAATGTGGTAAGTTTTGTTGAATAAAATTATACTATTTATAAAGATTGTTATATTAAAAATTTTTTTAATTTTTCAGAATCAACAGAAGTTATTTTATCAAGCTGTTGAAAGCACGTCACTGCCAGATACTCGAATTGATATTAAAGTGTCGTCCTCTAATTGTATAATAGTCCTCAGGTAACTATTATTCAGTTTTCATCAATTATCCAGATTTAATAATTTTTCTCAAGATTTTTTTAAAGAATTTCACTCTTACAAAAGAAATATTGAGAAATGGTTTGTTTATTCAGGTTCCCCATACCGGATCTACGACCCTTGCATGATATGAATCGTATTCCCTGGTGGAAGCGTTCAGTACGTCCAGACTACGTGACGTTACATCTCACGGATGCAAACCTACATACATCGTTGGATAGTCGGCAACCAAACCTAGCGCGACATGAGATCCAATGCCGTCAATTCTTGCTCACATATACAGAGGCGGAATCAGATGTACCCCTACATATCGGCAAGGGGTCAGTAGATGAATGCCGCTCTGATGAATTTCTCCAAAATGAAGACGAAGGCTTCGGGTGGCCTCGGGTTGTCATAACGCTCTTTCCACAAAATCTAGGTGGACCTCTGATGGAAGATAGTTCCGAGGGTGAACCAGAATCAAGCTTGGATGAGACACTTGAGAATACTCCAAGACATCAGCCCTCACCTTTTAGTTCTAAACGGATCATTCACGAATCGGACACGCCACATGCGAAGCCCTACAATCAGAATGATAATAAAGAAGACTCTGAACACAGGTTCATATTTTTCAGTCTTGTTTATTTATTAAAAATTTTTTTCGAATGACTATGAGTATGGATGTAAAAACTTGTTCATTAGTTAATATTGGATCAAAATTTCAATGAAAATTATAAGCAAAAAATAAAAACATTTTTATTTATTTTCAAAATATTTTACCACTGAAAATGTTTTATAATTATATTTGAAATGATTTAAAAAATGATGAGAGTTTATCAATAAACAATTATTTTAGAGAGGGTGAGGAGTTGATTATTCCTGGCAATAGGCAAGAAATGATGGAATTTATAGAAGAAGGATCACAAAACTCAAGAATTCAATTGGAAATTGGCTTACCATGTGCTTCTATTCAAATACCTTCAAAGCATCTATATGAATTAATATATAACAGATTTAATACTGATCTTTTTCTGTGGGAACCATCTGCGCCACGACCTAAATACGCATCAAATACTGAAACGAATATTGGTCTTGACTTTGCAACAACACTATTACAAGAATCTGTATATCCAAAGTAATTATCATATTTATTTTAATATTGTTTATTGACTTATTGAGTATTATAAGATAGTAATATAATTTGTAAAAATTGTAGATTCAGTATGTGCAAAAGTGGTATCCAGTATGATTCTGACTCTGACACAGAAGAAGAAGAAGGAATATTTCATTCAACTACAGATAGACTGACAAATAATCAAAGGCAAAATCATATTTTCAAAAATAACCAAAGTAAGGTAGCTGTAACATTGACAATAAGTCAAGGAATTTTAACCATGTACACCCCGGTTAGAGATTCCATGAGAAATGTAATACCTGGCCAACAAGGTGAAATTATTATGCGGTTCGAAGACGCAATATTATTTTCGGTTTCAGATTATAAGGGTGATGAAAATCTAAGCTATGTCTGTTTAATGATTAAAGATGTTAAATTATACCATTGTGGCTTAGTAACCATACCTTCACAGGATCCTCCCTTAAGATCAATTAACAGCATTATACCAAAACATTGTCAACGTTCAATATATAGAAGCGAACCTGGTGCTAATATTTCATTGAATTTAATAGAAAAAGATATGCTATCTGTAGCTATTCGAATACAAGCTGCTCATGAGACTCATAGAATAAAGGTAATTAGTAAATCAATTGTTTATTGTTGACATTCGTTTTAATTTAATATTTCATATAGACTTTTAGAGTAGCTGCTGGAATAAGTGATGCGACTTTGAAACACACAGTATCAACTTCTCAAACTTCATGGTTCACACAATTAACAGATTGTTTAGATATTATTGATCATCCTGTTGCAGGGTATATACCGCCTGGAATTTTAACCGAATTACATGTTCATCTTTGGGATTGTGCTATCGATTATTGGTACGTTCAGTTCATGGTTCACAGATATTTCTTCTATATATTCACGATTATTTCAATTTCAGTCCTACATATTTGCCGTTGAGGTCGATGATAACACTTGGTAGCTTCAGTGTATTAAGTAATATTGCTGCGCAAACAAACACTTCAAATCTTCGCTTTATCGCCGAGGACATGGCACTTTTCATATCAGATAAAATTGGCAAAGTTGTGGATTTGAGGCATGACTATGTATGCGTTATGGATCTCGGTTTATTTGAACTATCATTGAGGCTCAATGAAAAAATGTGTGGAGGCGCACCGAGGATTGATTTACGTGCTAGTAATAATGTCTTACATGTGCGCACTTGCTCGGACTCCGGACGGGCGCTTATGCAACTACTTACATACTTTGCCAGTGATGGGGATATGACACCAAATAGTGGCAGTATGGAAAGCATTACCGTGCCTAGTTCTGAAGATGGCGAAAGTTTACTCGGGGACGAGGGTATTAATTTCCTAAGTAAGAGTCAGGTCGAAAGAGTGAACAGCTTAATGGAAGAGGCTATGGAAGATACTGTCAAAGGTAAATTGATAAACAAGTTTTTCTTTCTCCTTTTTTAAGAATATTTTCTCTCAATTCAATATTGATAGCAATTTGTTTTAATAATTAATATTTTACAAAGGATAAAACAGTTAGAAATATTAGTATCGATTGAATTAGACACATTAGGTTTACATATTTATTAAATATTTTAAATAAGTCGTTATTTAATTAATCAATGCATCGCTATTACATATTAATATTTATTATTATTATTAAATAATATAAAAATTGTATTATTAAGTAATATAATCACCATTGTTAAAGTTATTGTGTCTATTTGTGACACAATTTAGATTTAGATTTCAAAATATATAGTATATATTAAAGTAAATATACTTTTAGCTTCCAGAAAAAATTCAAGGTATATTTAAATCACTTCATTGTAATGTACTTTTCTAGATGCTTTATTTCCATTATAAGCTTTTTTACAAAGTATAGGTATGAAATAATATAATTATGGAATATTTACTTGCTAAACAATATTTTAATGTAATTTATATTTAAACAGCTGTAAATTTATTTTAACAATATGATCTTGTACGATAAAGAAGGTACATGCAATTGAATATTTAAAATAATAAATGAATTTATGAATAACCAAGTATTTGATTTAAAAATTATATACAAATTTATTTGTATAAAAATTATTTGAATGTTTTATTTATTATGATAATTTATAATTAATTATAAAAATAATTCAAATTTCATAATAGTACTTGTATTTTAGAAGTTAGTTGTAGTTATTTCCAGAAATTACATATGTTTAATTACTTTTATTTACTTTCCTTAAATATTAATATATTAATATATTACTTAGTAAATTATTTTTATAATCTAGAAACAATTTTGAATTGTGTAATACCCATGTTACAAAATACTAGAAAAAAATAAACATTTAATACATAATTTTTCATTTTTATATCCGAAATTCTTTATTAAAATCATTATCAAGTTCTGACATCTATTACATTGAGAACTTATGAATTTCAGCAGATTAATTGTATATGCATACTAATTAATCAGTATGTATAGACATATGCACTATTTATAAATTATTTTATTATGTAATGAAATTATTATATTTAATAATATCTTACAGTAACTTTGATCAAAAAGTTAAAAAATATTAATCACTATATTATTTATTATTTGTGTAGTATAATGTATTTTATACTTCACAGTACAAGTAAACTATTAAAAATATCCTTTTTGTAAAAAAGGGATCACTTAAACACAAGAATTTGTGTTAATTAATCAAATTAAATCTACTTGTGAATTCGAAAATATTTTGTTAAATATTCTTTATAATCTAATGTATATAAAAAATGAAATTTCTATAATAAAATAATATATATATTGTATCAGTGACTGCGGACAAACTGGACAGAAAGCCGTTAGAGAAAGAGAATCAAGTTGAGGTGTTCTTTTTTCCCGATGAGTCAAATCCAACGACAGTGAATGAAGTGTTGAGGAGCGTTGGGACAAATGTCGAGTCTACAGACAACCATAAAGTAATCTATGATGATGGTGATGAGGACTTTTGCATATTGGGAGAAGAGGCCGGAGTGGGTATAATGCCACGTCACGGTGTTCCAGAGGTGCGATGGCTCTGCCAAGAGTCCGTGCGCATAGTCGACAATCATTTTGGTATACCGCTCGGCAAAACTGATCTTCTTAAAGCCCCCAAGAACTTTCCCCCAGCTATACTCAGATATACCCTTTGTGAAATGAGCCTTGTCTGGCATATATACGGTGGTAAAGACTTTGGAAAATCAGAACCAGCAATTAAAAAGCATATAACAATCAATGATAATTCATCCAACTGTGTGGGCTACATTCAAGGAAGGTGAGTTTCGATTATCTGCAATCATGAATTGTAATATTCCTATTACCTTCAACTAATTAAGTACATACTTTTTTAATTCTTTATTTGCTTCATAAATTGTTTGTTATTTCATAATCAGATGCACTTCATCAATTATATTGGGGGATTGTATTTTGATAATGCATCTTCCCAATATACAATATTATTAGTAGAAAAGCAATTAATTGTACTTAATTTATAATATATTTTGCATAAAGTATTATGGTAATTTTAACAAAATTATTTTATTATAAAAACAAATACATTCGATAAATCTTAATTATCTGCAGTTTTGTATAAATACCTACCTACCTACCTACGCGCGCGCGCGCACGCACACACACACACACACACACACACACACATATATATACTAATAGCATGATAATAGTTTTTATATAAATTATTTATTATTTAAATACTAAATAGTAAAAATAAAATAAGAATTTTTAATTTTATTATATACATTATGTGCATATATTTACAGTAATTGGTATGTTACTTTCGTAGTGGAAAAAAATTAATATATTATTAAAGAAATAAATTTAAGAAAAATATATATTTAAAGAAAAAGCCAGCTTCTCTTTTGTATTCATCCAATGCAAAATACGATAATATTTGAAAATTAACAAGAATAAAATGAAAACTATATATTTTATAAAATAGGACATTGATTAGAAATAAATTATTTCACAAGTTATATAGCTTTCTATTTGAAGCAAATGTTTACAGTAGATCAAATTGATTATATAATTATAAAAATCGTACTAGAAATTATTGTAACAAGAGAAAAACGATTGATTAAAATTAAGCAAGTACATAAAATGAAAGCGAATGGAAACGCTCAATAATAAAAAGTAACCAGCGTAAGTAAAAAGTAACTCAATAAGTAAAATTGTTCGGGATTGTCGTATTGTTATTTTTTCGTATATGAATCTTGGTCGAAGGTACAATTAAAATAAAACTTCGATTAAGTTGCATAGTAAGAGAGAATAAAATAAAGAGAGTATAGATAATAAAGTGCTCTATTATTGCAGGAGTCGCTCAGCCATTGAAGGTATTAGCTATAACAAGATCTCACCGAATAAGGTGCGGTTCGGCAGCGTGCCAAGTTCACCCCGAGCACGCGCTCGTAATTTCGCGAGTGATTGGCAAGAACTTGGTGGCCCTGGTCGGCGCCATGACGTACTTATGGAGCTTCAGTTAAACAAAATTCGCTTCCAGCATGAAGTCTACCCGGAGAGCGCACCCGAAGCTTCACGTCAAATCCTTCTCGTCAGTGAAATTGAGGTGCGCGATAGGCTCGCAAGCTCTCACATAAACAAATTCCTCTATCAGTACAGCAGTGAGGCTCAACCACGTCAGTCTCACGCAAACATGTTTGCAGCCAAGGCTGTACACTTAAGACCCGATCCCAAGCTGGCAACCCAAGAGTGTTGTCTTAAACTCAGTCTTTTACCGCTTCGACTAAATATCGACCAGGATAGTCTACTATTCCTTATAACATTTTTCACAGAGCTTAGTGGCGTAATTAAACACAACCACGACAATATTACCAAGGTCAACATTGCCGAGTCGTCTACAGGTTCAAAACAAGGTACACCCACTCATCATCCCCCAGTCATGAGTGTCAATGACGCTAGCGACCAGTCCAATACTAATAACCCTATGGGTGTGTCACAAAAACCAATTATTGATCAGAATCTTATGATACTCCTGGAGGATGAACTCATGATCAAGGAGAGCAAGTCTAGTATAAAGATTGTCAGTGAGATACAAGAAAACAGCCATCCAGTATACTTTAGGTGAGCTTTATACTTACATATACTTCTGTCAGGTATTCAATTTATCAATCAATTACTTTGTTCTATTTGTATATGACTTTTCTTTTTACTTTACTTCATAAATAGATATACATACAAGAATTTCAATTAAAAAATTGTGTTGAAAAAAGTACAATTAATTATTATGATTACATTTAAATAATGAATTTAATTACATTATTTATATTAATTAAATTTGATATATGAAATTAAATAAAAATTATTACTAAAATAAAATAACCTAGAAAACTGTACGATTTATATACTGAGCAAAAATAATACTTTATAATACAATTACATATATGACTCATGTAATCGCATGTCAACATTGCTTCTTACAGAAGTGTAATATTTACACCTGAAGTATTGGTACGATTGGATTATCATGGTAAACGTGTTGATCTAACTCATGGACCTCTTGCAGGCCTATTAATGGGTTTAGCTCAATTAAATTGTTCCGAGTTAAGATTGAAAAGATTGACGCATCGACATGGTTTACTTGGTTTTGATAAATTGATATCATACCTTTTATCAGAATGGATTCAAGATATCAAAAAGAACCAACTTCCAGGTCTATTGGGTGGAGTTGGACCAATACATTCTCTCGTACAACTGTGTAAGTTTTTCTGTATTTTATGTTTTTAATTAAATAAATATTTATACATTAAGATCAACATTTTTTGGGTTTCAAATTTGGTTTCTTTGTATTCACTTTCAAAAGAACATATTGATATTAATTTGTTATCTTATTAATATTATTGAACTTTTAATCTTCCAAACATATTTACAATTTCAATGAAATTTTATGAAGCATGTAATAATAATAAGACATTCATTATACGAACATAAAACTATGTCTACTTTTATGTGCAACGATTATAGCTACCTAATATGACTTGGTACACCTGAGTAATGTTGCAGTCGTTATTTTATCATAAGTCCAGAATTGTATAAATGTTTTTTAAACATTACGTGGTTATACATGTTACACATATCAAAGCATAATAATATTTTTAATATTTCAATTGCAACTAAAAGGCAGTACAATTCAGTTACATCACATGCTCTTCTACAAACAAAATATAGTATAAGAAAAATTAATTACCTGATTCTTTTACCAGTTCAAGGGATTCGTGATTTGTTTTGGCTACCGATTGAACAGTATCAAAAAGACGGGAGAATCGTTCGTGGTTTACAGCGCGGTGCCAACAGCTTCACGACCTCCACGGCAATGGCGGCTCTTGAGCTAACATCTCGACTCGTGCACGCGATACAAAGCACTGCCGAAACGGCGTATGATATGGTCAGCCCGGGTCCAAGTGTTAGGCGTAAAATTAAGGGCCAGAAAGGTCGCAGAAAACGCTACAGTCAGCCTCTTGATATTAGGGAAGGCATGTCTAATGCCTACATCCTCGTAAAAGAGGTAAATTACCGTTTATCTTTATTCGTTTCTAATTTTAAAAGATTAAAAGTAATTAAAATCGGTAGCTATTTTTGAGAAAGTATAAATTATAATAATAGGTTAATGATTAAATTAATCTGCAGGGTCTTGGTGAGACAGCCAATCAACTAGTACGCGTGGCTAGCGAGGAGCACGAGCAGAAAGGTGTCTCCGGTGCTGTCGGTGGCGTCCTTCGCCAAATTCCACCGACGGTTGTCAAACCGATAATTCTCGCCACCGAAGCTACCAATAACGTTCTCGGTGGTATGAGATATCAACTGGTGCCGGATGCTCGACACGAGGCTACTCAAAAATGGAGGCAAGAGTCGAGCGATGTAAATTGAATGTACATGCAATGTACTTCATAAAGAGGCTGCGAAGTAGTGGTCGAATTATATTTCGGATAACACCGTGGGGTTGAAACAATGAAACTGTAATCGCACAAGTGTTGCGCTCCCTCACGATTTTATGAGATACTAGATATACTAGAGATACTAGAGATATAAGATATGAGATATACTTCCTATTTTTTTTTCTCATCTACTCCTCTTCAATATTACATCAAATCTGTTGCGAACTAAATACAGCTTTATCTTAGTGTACAAAACTAGAAATTTATTTTGTAATGTCAAGGTAATAAGTGTTCATTATAGAGTGCTAGGATCATACGAGGCTTTCTACATCATTTCATTTATTGTGTGTTGTGTAAAAATTAAAGAAAAAGTTTATTACGATTAGATTATGAATATTCGTTTATATACTGAATAATCATTCATTATCATTTTTGATAAATATGGTAATATCCGCTTGTATGTATTTTATTGTGACGATCTGTAAGTTTTATACCGGCTATCAAAAATATGTAATTAAAAAATTTTTTCGTAAGCAAATTGTACAGCTTATACTGTTTCCACATGAAAAATAAAAATGCTTCATTTAGACCTCTACATTTGATATTTTTTTAATTATAATTAATCAAAAATTTTAAACGCCTAAAGATTTTTAAATAATCTTATTTAAAAATTTTCTGAAATAAAAATTGCTTCTGAAATAAAACACTTGCCAAACATAAAGTTTATATTTATTAAGAAAAATATTAATTAAAATGCAAATAAAAGCAGAATGAAAGGATGAATGGACTATTTACTTTTAATTTTTTTATTGAATGAATATTGATATGAAATATTGATATAATTATTTCATTTAAAAACCAATTAATAAATTGTTTATTTAATATTACCTAAAATTTATAATATTTAAAAATGATAATGTAAATTATTATTTATAACATAATAAACATAAGTATTAGTGATTTCAGTCAAATTAATAGAGAAGTATACCAATAAAATATGTAACTTGTAATTTTCTTGACTCATGTGGTATCTTATCACCAAAGATTCTAACTTTCAATAAATGTGTACTAATAACCGACGGTCGATAAGAATAATTGCAAAAATAACCTATAAAAAGCAAAGCTAATAACTACCAAGAAACTGATCGACCGCTTTGCGGTGTCATGGAGATAGTGACTGTTTATTTGACAGCGTCGACCGATGATACCTCGATCTGGTTGAAATAACGCCTAATAAAGAGCACCGTGAGTATGTCATATTCTGAAAAAAGGAGCGCCGTGTCGTTGGTCTCGTCGGCTGAGTCCTGTAGCTTGATAGGGATCGAACGAATGGATGATGAACTCGGAACCAGGAACGACTTGGAGCGTATAAGACAAAAACTTGGTATTGTCTGGCTCAACTGGCCCTCGATTGAGTTTCATGACGATTACCTCAACCAAGTGCCTTTGGACTACTCCAGACTCAGCGATGCAGAAAAGGTCCTTCACTGGCATGTTGAGAACTTCCGCAAGCAATACCATGCCCTTTATCCACTGCGAAAGCCTCTCCTACTAATTTGCGCTAACGAATGCAGCATCCAGGTACATCTGGTTCCGTAATCGCAATTTTGTAATTAAAATTTATCAACATTATTCATCCACACTTTAAATTTTGCTTTGTGAGTTTGAATTTTCGAGAATTTGGCGAAATTTTAAATTTTTGTGTAGCTGCAATCGAGATATCAATAAGTAATAATGCATCGAAAAAGTAATAGCAAGTCTGGTTGACAAATGTAAACTTTTATACTTTTACTATTCCTAAGTCTTTAAGGTAATCTGATCTTATTGATTTATAATAACGGGATTCGTATTTTTATTTCGTCGATATATAATATTAAATTAATGTAATATTTTGTCACGTACACATAATGTAAACATAACATAAAATTAATGTATAAGTAAAAATATTATTGATCCAATGATTCATTTGAAAGCATTACAATTTAATAGATGGATAAAATTAAGATATAAAGATGTATTGGGACTGACACAAGTAAAAAAAGCAAATTTATTCGATATCGTATTTTTTTATTCTCGGTGTATTTATCGATAAATACTTTCGACTTTCACATCGTACAAATGCGCTCTTTATATATAAAAGAATCGGAACATAAATAAAGTTATTATCGACGTAATTACCATTAAAATCTGCGTGTTCAATTTGCTATCAAATCATGCGAAGGTAACAATTATAGGAATGCCATTCAAAAAAGGTTTACACTCATTTATATTTTTAATTCCTTTTTCTTTCACAAACTCTTTCACATCTTTAATCATTTTCACCCGTGATATTTATTATTCCTTTAAATTCTTTCTTTAATAGTTCGTTCGGTGTGAAGAAGAATGCGTAGAAGGGATTTGTCGTAAAAGTTGAGGACCAAGATAGAGACGTTGATAATTGTATACATTCACTTTAACCGAATTTTTTATATTATTTCTATTCATTTTTATTTTGTTTTGTTTTACAATTAAAAAATAACAAAATGTGTATTTCTTTCGCGGGATTCTGTCACACATCTTTCTTTTTCTTTATGAATCTGAATAATAAAAATAAACTTCGCTATACATTTAAATTCATACATGGCATTTGCTTGTTGCACAATCAATATTCAGAGACGCAACTCTACAATAGTACAGAGAGTTTGCTGAACTGTTACCCTCGTTTGTTTTACAGTCTTATATACAAAAAGAAAATTATTATTGAAGAAAAATTTATGAGGAAAAGAAGAAACACTTTGGTTTTTCATCTCGTTCGTTAACGCCTCCTTTCCTACTCTTTCATCTTTTTTGTTAAATTTTGTTTTAATGTGCAAGTGAAGTGGCGTGTAAAAGTATCACCTCAAAGATTTTTGATGCTCTTAATAATTGATTGAAACATCCAACGAGATCATTATTTATCCATTGGCTATTTTTGCACCTCTTACATGTGTCCACTTTTCGCTTTAACTTTATTCAACTATTCATACTTCTCTGACAAAAAACGAATACATATAATTTTTATTCGGACGCATTCTTTTATTTTTGTTCATTACTTCTTTTAATATTGTATATACAAGTTACATAAATTTTTTTAAGATCTCAACAATTTACAACTCACGCGATTTGATCTTTAATCATTAATTAAGTAGCGAGTGCCGAAGAATTATATTTTTCTTCCTTAATAACCACTATTATTTGAACTAAAAGATGCCGATGCAAATTTACATCCGTTCAAAAAAATGTTGTATGTTGTATACAGAAATATCTACAAAGTATCCGTTGATTGTGGCGAGTGACTGTCGAAGAGGTGATCAACAAGTATAGAACATATTTATTGAATCCCTATTTATAATTTTCTTTATACTTTTTGTTTACAAACTTTGATTTAATTTTGCATTTGTGCCGTTTATTTGATCACTCCAGAAGTAAATGGAAAGACGAGGAATACGACGTAAACAGAAAACGATAATACAAAGAATAATAAAAAAATCATAATATTATTAATAATAATATTTAATAATGATTAATACAAAAATAACAATAATAATAATAATAATAATGATTAATTATTATGTGGAAGATGATGATGGAATAAAACGGAAAGAAAAAAAAATGTATGTACAAAAGTGGAAAAAAATGAAAATTGACTGGCTAATTTTGTTTATCGGTTGCCGCAATCGCCACAGAGGTTTGTATCCTCAGCGATAAGATGTTCAGTGCTCCCGTACGCAGAACTGAGTACATGGCAAGGCTGCGCGACATTCATCCGGGATTTCTTGAGCTACGAGCCCCTCGCCGATCCATTGCTCATGGTGAGTGATCATTCTTATTCATACCCCTCCTTATCTCTTTATCGATGCTCTCACAACTACTAGAATTGAGCTACATTTTCCAGTACACCGTCATTGAGGGGGCACGAACTATCAAAAAAAAATCACATTGATCTGATTATTTCTGATTATATAGTAGTCGTATTCATGTATTGAGAAAAAAACCGAGCGCGTTCGCATTAAGTGCCTGATGACATACAGAAAGGGCAACTTGTAATTACCGATGCATGTCCTCCCATTAAATGATTACCATTGATTGCCTTAATTCATCATTATCTTTATCTTATTTTTACACGCACGTACGCACACATATATTTCCTTTGTAAACATACGCATATATTTACATTTATCCACACACACACGCGCGCGCACGCACACACGCACACACCCACACCCACACACGTGTGCGTACGAAAAATACCGCCAACGTTGGACAAAAAGTATAGATAAAACCGGTTTATTAATGAATGTAAGCAGATGGAAGAAGACAAGAACGATAAAGTTTCGGCAAACGACTAACCTGCGATCAAAACCAATTTGCGAGTCAATTGTTTGGATGCAGTTATCAAGAATATCGTGTGATGACTGCCAATCCAAGATACCTTTAATGCTACGTTTCTGTTATGTTTCGTATATTAAAAACTAAGCATGTGATAATTTCACAACAGGTGGACGAAGGATGGATGATGAACGATAAGCGAATTACAATTAACTAGAAACTTATGGAACGATGTGTGTGTGTGCGTGTGTGAGAGACAAAATGCTCGTGAACGCGTTCACGAGTGTATAATATGCAATTATGACTTAGAATGTTCTAATGGCGTTAGTGTTCATTAATGCGCATTCACGAGATGATAAAATTTTTTTAGTTCTCATTGATTTCGATGACTAAGAACTATTCGCGATTTTATAGGAATGTTTAATTTTACTTTATTTCGTTTTCTGTTATTTTTACAGATTTCATTAATCTCAACCAGTTTTATTTTGTTTGTGTAGTAAGAGCCATGAATCAAATTTAAAAGTAACTCTTTATGTGCTTGATCGTAAAACAGCCAGCAAATTAAATCAAATTCTATTACACTGATACAAATTAAAATGTGAATTTTTTAAATAAAAATAATTCAGTAATTATTATTCAAATTTATTTTAACAATTAAAACTTTAAACGCATGCATGTATGCACATATACATACCCATACGTACAGTTTTTAAATAAATTTATCGTTCAATATATTAAAACATTTATCCACACTTTCAATAAAAAATTATTTTTCGTTCTTTATTTTAAAAATTTATATCCATTTTTAACCAAATTATAGAAGAAGCAAAGGTAAAAGAATTTTAAAAAAGTTAATAATATTTTAATGCTGCAACATGCACATTAAAGCAGAGCGCACAAAAAGCTCATAAAATGCTTTTAAACAGTATAATAAAACAATGAAATTTATACAGTGTAGTAAGCAACATGACGATTGCAAGTATCTATATCTGTATATAATGTATATTAACATTGTCTTACCCATTTATTCAAATATTTATATTCTTTTCGTTGGCGATAACTTCGAACACAGGCTCTGGTGGTAGAATCGCGTTTCAAACGAAGTAGCCAATACTGGAATTCTAAAGTCCACCGTTTTATTTCAACCAAACACGTTTAATAATGATAATGCTAAAAACGGAGTTTAAAATACGATATTTTAATAATGACAATATCTATTATAAGTCTGTACTAATGATGTTTTTCGAATGTAGTTTATTCCGATTAATAATATTGATATCTACTGATGATCGTATCTGCAATTCACGGATGCAGTACCTTTGAAAAAATGATGAAATTTATTTTGCTTAATCACAAAACATAAGACTTAGATTTATTTGAGGTATTTAATAAAATTACACTTCGACATAGTATTAGTAGAACATACTAGTAAAGTCAGTTTTTGTAAAATCTATTCTTTAGACTTCCTAAAAAACAATTTCTACGAGCATCGATTTACAAACGTCGCTATAAATAAAGGATCAAAATACAACAGAATAATATTGAAACATAAATTAGCGTTTAATTTATTTAGCAATGGTGTTGCAATGTTGCAAATGGTGGAGCAATGTAGCAATGGAATTAAGATGTTTGGAATAACAGCTGATTAAGACTAATTTGTTGGACAGTTAATTATACACGATTGCGTTTGCACGAGAGTTTAAATGGTAGCTTAAGGGTTTAAAATTATAACACCTATCAGCTTAGAATTGCTTTTAAATTCAAATAGTAAGTTTAGCAGCAACTCTAATAAAACATCAGACTGTCATTAAATTATTAAATTTATTCTCTGTATTACCTACATTATTTCAACAAGTATTTCAATTCGTTTGAATTATTTCAGATAGAATAACGGTTTTCCAAAATAATGAAAAGGTGGCTAAAATAGAAATGAGTAAGCTTCTCAGTAGACGGGCTTTAGAATGCAAACGAAAACAAAACTGGGTAAGAAATGCGGGGGAGGAGAAATGGAGACTTAAATCTCGAATAGCCTTCCTCAAGGTCGACCATATATTTCTCCCGCCACGAGTGAATGCGCACGCGCTTGTATTTCTTCTCTCTCTTCACCTACTCACTCCCTCCTTCAACTAGCCCTTTCTTTCTCATCCTTCCTTTCTTTATACGAATTTCCTAGAGCGAGTAGTTTTTATTTTTACTTTTCTTATTTTTCTTTCCATTTAAACACTTTTTAAACTATTTGTTCATTCCCTTTTTTAATGATTTATTACTCTCTTATTATTTGCCGGCTTTGTGCTTCTCCATTTATTTATTTGTCTATATTATCTCCCGATGCATATGCAGTAACGATAAATCTCTACAGCGATGACTTAAGACTTAATGAAACGCTTAACCATTACATCTATTTACGAATTTTGGTATAATCTTTTATGTACAGTACGCCCAGGGAGACGAGATGGCAGAACACTTAGGGAAGCAATGACAAGAGTAAGAACCGCGACCCACATATTTTTTTATGCATAGTCTATATTTTTCTCGATCGCTTTCGCCATATTTTTCTCCCAATCTCGCCTTACCTCTTCTTCGCATTTGTTACATTCAACTTCTCATACACATGCACTTGCTCTCATTCCCTTGCATCTATTGTGTGTTGGGGAGGTAAATTCACATGACCATTTTTATCGGCGTATAACAAGACGCGAATTTACACATAAGCGCGCGCGCATGTCAAATACACACGTGCAAGTGACGTTACGAGACTTGCAATAGATTGGATACAAAGCTTAGGCGTACGAGAAATTCGAAAAGAATTGGCGCGAAAAAGCATCGACAGAGTCGAAAAAAATTTCGCGTAGTGAGCCATCAGCCAAAGGAGTAAGGGGGTATGCTTGTCGAAGATGATCGAGGGAAGCGAGGTCCTATTGATCGGCCACTCCATTCTCCACTCCAACACCGAGTAATCACAGCACCGAGGCAGTCGCGTGCACGTGTGTGTGTGTTTGCGCGCACAATCCTCAGCCATCTACTTCCTGCTCTGCTTCAAGCTGGAAGTCTTCTTCCTACAGGTTTTGAGGTTATCCAACAGGTATTTGAACTGAAGAATCTGGAGTCGCGTCACCGAAGGCTCGCTACACTTATCTAGCCATTTGAAAAACTTCTCTCCATGCTCGATAGCTTCTTCGGTGGTGCCGACGGAGGCGAGATCCGTCGCCCGGGCTCCAAGCTCCCCTTCCTCTAGATCATCTCCAAGAGTGCCGTTTCCATTGCTACTGCTTACGTTTAAACTTCTCTTTGCACTTTCGTCATTTTTGTTGTTGTTGCTACTATTGTTGTTATTGCAAAGAACGTTGTCCAACAATGCCTTAGCCTTGCTCGGTGATTTGTTTGACAATTGCTGTTGTTGCTGCTGCTGGTGCTGGGTAACAGTTGAAGCCGTAAGCGAAGAAGCAACTACAGGGAAGCTACATTGTTTGTACCACTGCCAAAACCAGGAACCATCTACACCACTTGCTGCGGGGTTGTACGGTGAAGCAGAAGCCGCAGCGGCAGCTGCTTGTTGTCCTAGAAGCTGTTGTTGCTGAGCGAGCCAAAGCCAAAGGGCTTCGTCAGCCTTACGTGAGCTGCTACTGCTGCCACCGCCATTACCGGCACTCAGACCGTTGTCCTTACGTGAGCTCCTTGAGTGTGATTGGTGGGACTGATGAACTTGATGATGATGATGGTGTTGTTGAAGGGGTTGCTGGTGAGATTGGTGATGGTGAAGTCCGAGAACACCGTTGTGGTGTTCACTAGTCTTACGTGGGGAAGCGGGTACTGGCGTCAATGGTGCTTCCGCCGCCGGGGGTAGACTTTTACGGGAGCCGGATTTGCTAACAGAATCGAGTTGCGTCGTTGGTGCGATTGCCGAGCCGTGAGTTGAAGATGAGGCTGCAATGGGGAGACCGCGTTTTGAGTGTTGATGAGCTCCATGACTACCATTGCTACTCTTTGTGTATTGAAGTCCATTCTCAACAAGACCGACAGCTTGAGCCCCACTACCACTTCCTAAATGCCCCGAACTCAAGCTTAGTAGGTTCTTGGTGAGGCTGGCTGCGCTCTGGGCACTGGATAGGAGTCCAAGTTGCTGCAGCAAGATCGAACTATTTTCTGAACGAACGCCACTCGCAACGATGCTGTTTATAATGCTGCTTACATAATCCATCTTAGGTTGTTTCGGTTCCAGTTTGGCTGAGTCTACGACATCCACATTCTCAGTGACCCCGAGGGCATCGAGCTTAAGCTTTTTGGCGCTACTCGGTCCAACCACTGCCTCATCCTCGCTCGAAAGATTTGAGGCACCGGCCATGCTCGCGAGGGTGTTATTAGCTCCGGAAGACGAAGCCGGCGAATGAGCTTCACTATCTGGTGTGGAAGAATTCCTTGCCATACCGCGGATCTTGTGCTCACTCTTACACCAGCCACGAAGCGTAGATTCGGGTACGCCGATATCTCGGGCAACAGAGGCCTTGCTTTCGCCTTCGTGGACTCTTTGTATAGCTTCCATCTTCTCCGAGGCCGAGAGGGCACGTAAAGGGCGTTTGCCCGGGCGCGCCGACTCGCCCCGCATACTAGCGAGCAGATGCTCCTGAGCCTCCTCGCGGAGCCGCTCCTCTAGGCTAGCGACGCCGCCGAGGCCTCCCGCGGCGCTTTCCAGTGCCAGCGCCGTTTTGGACCGGTGGTGGTGGCTCGTCCAGGCACGCCCGATTATCCCTTTGGCAATTGGTGCCCGCCGTGCAGGCAACAGAGTTAACGCGCTCGCAGTCGTCGCGATTGCACTCGCGCAAGCGCGCACTGTTTATATTAACTGGATTGTTACGCTATGCTGCTTGAACAACCAACCGACACCTATCGCTATTTATACTTCTGTTATCGAGAACTACTAACTGTACCGCTCGTGCTTAATAATGCTCTTCCTGACCAAGCGGTTCCTATTCCGCCGAAAGTCGAAACCGTTCTGGCGCTCGGCAAAAGCCTTCCCGAAGGTGTTGGTGGGGCAACCGATGGATGCTGGGTGATAGAGCGGGGGGCGGTTCTGGGAGTGCTGTAAGTGCTGCCACCGCACGGACGTTATGAGATTCGTACGCGTCGCTGGAGTGGCACATGCGCTCGAACCCGACCGAGAGGGAGAGTAATAAAGAACTTTTTTATGAATGAAACAACTCGACCCCCACTGTACGATCACTTCTGGCCTCGCGCGCTTTATCCACTTTGTGCGCGTGTCACCTTAACGCAGTTTTCTCGGCCACGAGTGTAAACTTGTTCTGATCGCTGTCTTAAAATGAACACGGCCTGGAACCACGGAAAATGGTGCTTGTTAGATTAATATTCCTGTACTTTTACAGCATAAATGCTGTCTCTTCGTCTTACAATGGTGCCGTTATCGTTAGATTCCTTTTATTTTAATTTCGAGAGATGTGCGTAAATATGTACGTGAGATAAGCCATAAATTGATTTGTCCTTCACACCATACAGGTAGATTCTTGCGTTATTATAATAGGTTTCCTTTTCTTTCTCCCTTTCTCTTTTTCACATGATAATTACTTGTAACTTTAATTCAGTTGTTATATCGCTTGTATCACGCAATTGGCTGAATTTTCTACAAAAAGCAGAGTCACAATATATTCACGACGAATTGTAACTCTGAACTGTGGCAGTGGACGCCGGCTTTTCGCAGACTCGCGACGCCGCCACTGCCACCGCTACCACCGCCACCGCGTCCTCCCCCCCCGCAGCTGCTTATTTTTTCACCCTTCCCCCCTCTATTTTTATTTACTGTGTGCGTTCATTTTGGAAACTAGTGACTCTTTTCGAGTGAACAAGTCTCACGTTGCTTCTACCTACCATAACTACAGTCATAATGAAGATAGACATCTTTTGATATTGTTTTTCGTCAGATGTAAGCGATCCTTGCATTTAAAATACTCCTGTGTAAAAATCATTAGTCAATTATTTACTTGGTTGACACCAAGGAAATTTAAATTAACTAGAATCTGTTCATACACCTCAACATATTTCAAATTTTTAATTTTCCACGAAAAATAACTTGCTTTTATGAAATCGATAGTCCGTTCAATCTTTCTTTCTTATATAATTTTTAAGTGTACAAATATATATTTGTTTATTTTTAAAAAATAATTTGTCATTTAAAGTGTTGATACTGTCATTTATTATTACTATAGTTACATTTGAATCCAAATTTTATATGCAATTTGTACAATATTGACAAACAATATTGAATAATAAAAAAGTAGATTGCTATCAAAATACTTATTGCATTGGAGCCATATTTATTCAAGAACCGGAACTTTTCACCTCACCCAGTGACCTATATGTATCGTAAAATTCCTCAAGAAACTTAAAAATTTTAAAATGTTTTTGGGGTGTACGTTTTTATTTTTATGATACTTTTTAAATATATATATACTGATAGTATTTAATGTATTTTAATATCTATACTATGTGCCTACAATGTCTTTGTTAATTAAACTTTAGATTGCCTTATTTTTGAATAATTACACATTTTGTTTAATTATTTTCTCAATTAACTTTATAATATACAAAATACTTTTTACAGAATATGTCATAATTATAATACAATCATTTTCATAAAACCATACCCTTCATTAAATAATAATTGGTTATAAGACTAAAAAGTAATTCACTAAAAATCTTATTCAAATATTTATGTATAATTAGAAAATGTTTACAAATTCATAAAATAACAGTATAATAATTAGCAAAACATTAAATAATATTTATACAAAATTTTTATATGAAAAAAAAACAATTAGAAAATTATTCAAATTATAATTTATTTAAATTAAATAATTTGGAATGTTTGGTATTGTTAGAAGGTAAATAATATATTTTATACAACTGAAGCAAATAATTCAAATTCTATTGTCAATATTCTGAAATTTAGTAAATACCATAGTCTATATAAAAATGTATTATTTATAAAAATCGAATAATTATGTATTCATTCTAACGATTTGATTAAAATGTTTTAAAATTATAGTATTTGGATGTCATTCGTAATCATGTTTCTTATTGGACAATAAAATATAGAAAAATTCGTTGCAATGTCAATTTTCCATTAGAGACTAATTAGTAAATTATTGTAACTATTATTGATTGCTGCGTCTGGTAATATTAGCCGCAAATTGATTTTCTAATTTGCTTAATCAGAACTACTTAAAAAGTATATTATATAGTAACACTAAAAATAATGAATAATAATAATTTGATATAAGAATTGTCTATTTCTCTATGACCAAAGAAAAGAAACCGCTAGGATGCTTGTGCATGTTTTTTTCTATGCAAAAAATAATCTCCAAAGAGCGCGCGATGATGAATAGATTTTCATTGCTGCATTTTTTTCTTTATCGCCTTCATTCGTGTGTTTTTGTATTTTCTTTTTATTTTGGTCGCACCGAACGCACGATTCGAATTAAATAGGATGAACGGAAGCATGATTTCAAAGTTTGATCAAGTATACAAGAGAAAACAAATATTCTACAGTAGAGTAAATGAGATGGCTCCAAGGGAAAGACGAAGTATAAAACATATTAAGACCGTACCATTGCATTTGTTAGTTTCCTGTGGATAGTGGTGATTACGATGATTACGTCACTTTTCTTTCTTTCGTCGATTCTTTATATTTTGTACCCTTTTTATCACATTGATGATGCCATTGCTTTAGTATGGTTTTCTTTCTTTTTTTACCGAGTGACTTATTTATGTATTTTGGGGCTCGATGAAATATGACCGAGGTAAAAAGACCGAAAAGCGCGGCCTGAATAAACTGCACACATGCAGGGAACACGAAGCTACGCTGAATTTAATTGCTGTAGAGAAGAAGGCGGAAGAGGAGAGCACAAAATATAGGATTGTAATTGATAAATTACAGCTACAGTTTAACCCGTTGAAGAGCACGCAAGCGCACAAGTATTAACCTTTCTCTTTTGCCATCTACTATGTATCTCTTTATATTTCATTTAAACGAAGATGTTTTATAATTTGTTTTATTTTTAATGATTTGTATTATAATCTCTGTAATCTCTCCTACCTTCTTCCCTCTTATATTCCTCTTCTTTGTGTTTTATTTGTACTTCGTTGTATGTCATTCGCATCAGATAAACTTTGAATCACTGTAAGAAATTTATTTAAAATATTTTTAGCTCTCGTTAATAAATAATCATACATAAAATTTAAAATAATTAATAATTAATGTTAAACAATCAACTAAATTTATTAAAGATACATATATTTAAAATTTCTGAATATAAATGTAAAATTGAATTCATTTATAGATAATATTAATTAATTAATAAACAAAAAATTTCTAAATGTCTGTATAGAATATTTATAAATTTATTTATATTTTATGTTTTCCGAATAAAAAATCAATGCTATAGCAAAAAATTATTGTAAACAAATATATTGATTGAGTTATTAAAAATAAAATTAGCAAACTGTGTAAAAAATATTCTTCTTTTTATTATACGCGTGCATGGCTCCGCGCTATATATGATAAATATAAAAATTAGTTGATTTTGAGTAGAGCGTGTCTACATAACTTTCGGTCTCTTACTATCTTTAGCTAATTATGACCATTTAGCGAATAATTTTTAAATACTTAGGTGGAAAGTTAACATTTTTTACTTTCATTGTTTTATAAAACATAATGCACATAGTTTTTTAAAGGAAATTATATATATATATATATATTTGTTATTAAATATGATAAAAAATATTTTAAATTATAAATATAATATTTATCTTTCAAAATAAGAAAACTATATATATTTAATAAGCCAATATCGATTTTTTTTAAAAATCAAGTTATTGTAATCTGTAGTAACCTCTCTGTAGGAAAACAATTTTTTTCCAATTAAAAAATCTCAGCTATACAATTCAAATTCACAAGCATTCATAAATTAATGCACATTAAAGCATATATAAGAACTTATATTTATCTATATTACATAATAAATCGAGTGATTTTCAATATTATAGCTCATATTTAAAGTTAGTTTACCCAATTAATTGGAAGACTTCTGATACAAATTAAAATAGTAGATTTGTGTATATACGTTATGAATTTTAATGTATGTATTACCAAAGATAAATTGCAAACTACCATCAACATTAACTACGCATGAGCTTTGTCTTATATACTATAAATAAATACCATGCACTGTTAAACATTAATACGATTATTTGATTGGCAGCGTAAGACAGACATTTTTTTTAATTATTTGTAACTTTATGTTTAAAATAGAATCAATATTATGTATAACAGAAATTGTAAATGGATAGTGTAATATAATAGAGAAGTTCCTGTTATTACATTAATTTCTATCTCATTACATCATTAGGCTTGATAACACAATAATGGGTACTATAATATTGTGATTCTAAGAGCAACAAGTGAAAATTTAATTTACTGCAATAGGAATAACATGTAATTTTTACTTGTCTCCATTTCAAATATTAAAAAAATTTATTCCAATATAAAAATAACATATCGCCTAATTATATTATGAAATTTGTTACGAAAATAAACGAAATTGTTAGAAAACGTTCTTAATAGATTTTCATTGATTCTATATCTCTTTTTTACTCTTTAAATTGTACAAGTTTTATTATTATATTTGTTATATAAATAGGCTTCACACTTATTTATTATAGTGAATATCGTACTGAAATATTTAACAAATTGCATAAATCATAACTATCGTAATTATATTAATTTTATTTGCAATTTATTCCCTTCACGTTAATTTATATTTTAAAAACTAATAACTCTAAATAGTAATCCCATCAAATAAAAATGTAGTAGTGAAAGAAAGCCATAGATGGATTTTTTTCGGGGACCCATGTAACTTTATTGTTCGAAGACATATAATATGATGCTAGTACGTGAGGGAGAGA